AAATAGCCAATGCTATTAGCATATCCCGTGAGACAGTTGAGAATATTCTCTACAGTGAACTTGGCATGACGAAGGATCCTGCTCGGTGAGTGTCACGTCTTCTAACACCTGATCAAAAGCGCACCAGGTTGATCTCTAACACTTTCACCCCGGCCCCTCAACCTCCGGCGTCTTACTTTCGGGGTTGAGGTGTCTACTCGGTCCTAACCGAAATTAAGGGAGTGGCCATAGGTCCCCTGATCATCCGTAGATTATTCGACCTGTCCACTGGTTTAATCCTGCTTCCTGCCCACGTTGTGATTTGTTTCCTCCAGAAAACGTGATGTCCGTCCATTCACAGTCGACTGAAGATGTAGACACGGCTGGGGAGTCTGCACTAAGAAATTTAGAATGCATCAAAAAAAATATTAATATCAGAAGGCCCTTGCACCAGCCCTGGTAACAAGCAAAGTGATATGTGACAGATAATTCCGAAGGCGAACAGCAATAGCAAAACAAGACTTCCAAATTATTTAGAAACTCTCAGTACCAGTGAAAATTACACGGTTTTCTTAGTTTAATATTCTGATATATGAGAATATTAAATAAATAAATACGAGGATGGGCTGAAAATGTTAGAGCATTGAAATCTTGCATTGTGGAAAACACTGATCGTATTCACTACATGGTGATCGATGATAGGCGATTGACTATAGATCAAATAGCCAATGCTATTAGCATATCCCGTGAGACAGTTGAGAATATTCTCTACAATGAATTTGGCATGACGAAGGATCCTGCTCGGTGAGTGTCACGTCTTCTGACACCTTATCAAAAGTGCACCAGGCTGATCATATCGCGGGAAAATCTGATATTGTTTGAGGCAGATCAAGCTGGTATCCTTGAACGTTTCCTAACACAGAATGAGTATTGCGTTCATCACTTTGCGCCTCAGGCAATAAGATTATCCATTTACTGGTAACAGAGTGGTAATAACAGACAATCCATATAGTGGTAAAATCTGTCCTCATATGCTTCAAAGAAGGTCAAGATCGTTTTATCTGCAAAGAAGGTGAAGGTCCCGTTATTTTATTTTGCAAAGCGTTGTGTTTATTGACTATTTTCAAAAGGCCTACACAATCAATGGAAGGTAGTATGCCAAATTGCTTAGGCAGTTAAGAAACGCTATTATGGCCACACCTCCAGGAAAAACTGAGGAAAAGAGTCTTGTTTGAACAGGACAATTCTACAACGCACAATTTCTTAGTTTCAATGGTTTTTATGCGTGACTGTGATTTTGTACTGATTGAATACCCTCCTTATGCTCCTGACCTGACTTTTATATTTTCCACAACATGAAAAAATACTTGACTGGAAACCAGTATGGCAGGGATTATAGGATTATATCTGTTGCTGAACAGTTTTCTTTGAACAGCCAGATATAAGTTTTTATGGAAAGAAATAATGCATCTCTATCTATAAAAACCAAGATATGTGTGTGGGGGGGGGGTGTAACGAATGCACGCCCGCAGTTTTCGACGGATTTGCACCAAAATTTACATGCACATGCTCCAAGTTAGTGGGAAGGCCAAGACCGACTTGGCATTTCCCAACTCCCATCGATAGTGGAAATAATTTTTCATGCTTCTACGGCAGTTTTCATGTAGTCTGCGGCCATTATCTACTGGCCAGAGTGAGAGCCTATAACTGGCTGCCACGAATAGAGAGGAAGATTCTATTGGCCAGCGTGAGAGCCAACAGGTGACTGACGCGAATGTTAACTAGAATGCTAGCATGCAAAAAATATCGATAGCTGCATTCGTCACAAGTGGGAAAAATTTAAATCTGCATGGCACTTTACTCCAATTGGCTCATTCGCTTGCTTAAACTCAACGTTGATTCTGATTCCGCAGAACTGGGTTGGGTGTGAAAAAGTATTTGTTGTTAACATTCTTTTTTCATTCGTTTTTTCCAGTTACGAGTCCTTTTTTAAAGCTGATGGTTTTGTGTTCATTTTGTTTAGTTCTTTTTTCGTAACAGATTTAATGTTTAGTATAGAGCTTAGAAAAAATTCGCCGTGTGACATAGGCAAGAAGTAAGGCATGTAGCAACATCAGAACGGCAAAGGGCACTCCTTTAAAGGCTAAGAAGGGCAAAAATATTTCAAGTCAAGTGATAGCTATTGCTGTATGAGTCGTACGATTTTTTAATCAAGCACGGGCAACGCCGAGCCATGCTGCTAGTTTATTAATAAAAAGAGTTGAAATTAATACATGCAAGATTTCACAGGTCCAGCATCAGTCCTTCACAGCCAGCCTATGACCTTTTCACCCCACCCACTTAGCATAAAAAAACGATATATTAGGTTGAATCTATTTTGTTTCTCTACTTTCTTTGTCAAAAACCAAATTACAACATTTACCTAAGGAGGAACTAGTCTGGGGTTGAAAAGACTCCTACTGGTTCTCCCATTCCCAACAATATGCGTCTGGTCTCTTACAACAGGATAGATCCTACTGATACCCACCATGCACAACAACAACAACAGGTTCAACCGAGAAGACGAAAAAGAATCTAGGGAAAACAATAAACAGGTTCCTGGTTCCTCTTATACTGCCGTGTATAACCCAACATAAATTTTCAAATACGGAACAGACGTGTAGAATTTGGAGAGAAAAGTATTCGAGACGTACGTTCAAGCATAAACAATAACAAACTGACTCACCTACGCAGAAGTATTAACAAAAGGAGACTGTTGACCGTTATCGACATTGATCAGATAAAAAAAAAAGATATAATCAAATTAAAGAAACAACTCAGGGATTACATTTCACAGTTCAAGAAGGAAAACAAATGATGTCAGAGGCAATATAGAAATTTTTTTCACAGTAAGAAATTGAAAACATAATATAGTCAAAAATAACTCCGGCATACTCCATGGTGATCATTTGAAAATAGTTGAGCATACCAATTAATTTCCAAACAATCTGACTGAATGAAATAATGAGGCTGTCACTAATGAAGATCTGTCAGAACTAGTAGACGAAATAATTGCTGTATGGATGAAAGTCCAGAACGTTGACAGGAAGGCAGTCAACGGACTTCCTAAAATTTCCATTGATAACAAAAATGACAAAATCATCGGTCAAGTTGATCCAGCCTTGAATATCATTATGTATCAAAATTTACTGGACAAAATGAATGAAAACATATTCTTGTACCCAACTAAGAAAAATGCTTAAACTGAAATCGCTAAGTACGACAATAAAAAAAACTTTGAAACACGCACACGCTTTCTCTATTACGAGTATCATTTTCACTGAAATGCGTTTTCATGGTGATCAATTCAGATAGATAAATCTGTTAATAGCCTGGATAGATTACGCAAAAGCTTTTGACAGTTTTCCGCACTGCTGGATGAATAAATGCTTAGAGACATTTAAAATTTTACCAATAATCAGACTCTGTCCTAACTAAACGCACACACGATTTCCTATTACGAGTAGAATTTTCACAGATGAACTGTGAACGGGAGTCATTTATTTGCAGAAATGAACTCCTATTAATGAGTTGTGATAGTCTTGCACAAAACTAGAGATTTAAAATTTTACCAATAATCAGAAAATTCTGAGAGCATGTCATGAAGTTGTGGAAATCAATATCAATTCTGAACACGAATCGTACAACTATAATTTCTGGAGATGCCAGCAAGAAACGACGTAATCTTTCAAGAGAACACAGTGTGGATTTGTTTGGAGATAATTCCGCTAAGAAAGCAGTTGAATAAAACAAAATGTGGATATAAAGGTCATGGAAAATTAATGAACGATCTTCTTCTCTATATAGATGACCCGAAGCAGTTTTGCAAAAATGATAATCAACAACAAATGGATCTTCACAGCATGAAATAATTTCTTCAAAATATCAAAATGGAAGATAGATTTGATAAATGTGCAAAGGTTGCATTTCTCTAGAAAATACAATATCAACCTAAAATAGGTTGGCTTGGTTAAATTTGTCTTAGGGTATATTAATCTCTATGAGTTATTTAATGCCGAATTCTAAATATTTTGAACGTATGCCTTTAACTACAGATAAAACGTATTTTTTGTAATTATACGATATGTATTTTTATACTTTCGTAGAGATTTATTTTTATTTGTCCATAGCTGGAACCGTGACAAATGTTACCGCACCAGGTCAGGTTGGACCTGAGAAAAACAGCAATTAAGAGGTGGTTCCACGTTCCACAAAATCTCCAATCTCCCGATCAGAGGTCTTGCTACCGGATGTAATTCATCGTCCTACCCAGGACTACCTAAAAAGTTGGTATTGGAATTAAAAAATGGATTAGAACCTGAGGAAATTTCTTAATTATTTAGGTGCTTTAGAAGAACTGTGAATTAATCGCGCATTAATTCGAGAAATACATCGCGAAAGGTGGGCTACCACAGACTAAGAGTGATTTTGAAAACAGAGCAGAATGTCGAAACAGAACTGAACCCATAAACTCATAAGGCATTCCTGAAAGCACATACATCTTCAATATTATTAATTGGTCCGTCTCCGAGATGAGGCTTACAGTCATGTCACGTTGGAAAAATAGTCCAGGGTATGACGATAAACTATATCTGGTAGCAAGGCCTCTGATCGGGAGATTAGAAATTTTGAATAACGTGGAACCACCTCTTTGTTATTGTTCCTCGGTCGGGGTGGTAGCGCCTGTTAGGGTCCAAGCTATGGGCAAATAGTGAACCCCCAAACACTATGAAAGTATAGAAATACTTTTAATAGTAAACATATCGGCAAATATGTTTCTGTATAAAAAAGTTACCAACGATACATAATTCTAGTAAAATTACCAACAACACATTTTTAAAATAGAATTACTAATAATACATTTTATAGTAAAACGACTAACAATAATTGTCTGCAGTTGAAACCATTAAACTGTGTTCAAAATATTTCGGCATTAAATAATCCATAGAGTTTGAGATTGCTCTCGACAAAATCAACCGTCAACAGCGAAACACCGGTTCCCGTATGATCACCGAAGTTAAGCAACATCGATTTTGGTCAATATCTAGTTGGGTGACCGCTTGGGAATACCAGCTGCTTTAAGCTTATATATGCGGGTGGTGCAATGAATAACGGCTCGAAATTGGAGTTCGGTGAGCAGAGTTTCTATTCCAGTTGGATTTTTTATATTCACATATCCTTGTTAAAGGTATGGATTCATCTCTTCTGCCTCTATCTCTGGTTTCGTTAGTAGCACTTGTATCGGAACTTATTATTCTTATCGCCGAATGATTCTTAAAGTTAAAGAACATTTTCTGTTTTAAATAACCTGTAAAAGTTTACATATTTATTAGGTTGGTGCAAAAATAATGACGTAATAATGTCGTTTTTTGACGTTAAAAAATACGTCAAAAACGACATTATTACGTCATTATTTTTGCACCAATCTAATACATCATTCGAACTGTTATCCTCATCTTTATTGCCATATCCACGACGTTTCGGACATTGTATGATCGGTCCTGCTTTACGTGATATACGTTGGAATTTCGAACCTAACCATTTATTTAGTTCATGAGTGTTGATCAAAGAATCTACTAAAAAAAAAAAATAAAGTAATCGGTTCGAAATTCCAACGTATACAACGAAATGTCGTGAATATGGCAGTTGCCTTGATCTATCCACTACCCTTCTCCTCATCCTTTCTTCTATCACTTCTATCTGATCTTGCTCCAAATTTTCTGTAACCCTTTGCGTCCTAGTGGCTTCCCGACTTGCTTGGGGTGAAACGCTTAAAAAAACCAAAAAAAAAAAAACGAAGATGAAGAAAACAGTCTGAACGATGTAAATATTGTAAATAGTCACAATACCATATCTTAGAAATATAGACAGATCCTGAAAAAGGCCGGAGCGAACAATGGCCGAAACGTCGTGAATATGGCAATAAAGATGAGGAAAACAGTCCGAAAGATGTAAGCCGTGTAAATAGTCACAGTACCATATCTCAGAAATATAAACCTCAACCTGTAAAAGGCTGATAAGCCGTAATAAAGAAATCAATTAAACAATGTAAATCTCTGAGGCGAACAAAATTGATTCCAAATCTTCTCATAATGTATTGTATGCACCAACCGTAGATCAGACATTGACCGATTGTACCTTTCAGGAAGAGAAGGTTTTCGAGCATTAACCACAATCGATGATCTTTTTGGTTATTTGCGGCAGGCAGATAACTGCATGTTAAGAGTGATTCTGAAACACACGATTACAAAAACTGCACCCTGAGAGAAAATGTTCCATAATGTGACTTCGGGAAATGCAACTAAGCGAAACAGAAACTGGAACAAAAGTGCAAAACAAATTAAAATGCAGCACAACAAATAAAAATGCAGCAGAACTAATCAACTTTTAAAACCCTGTCAATGGGGAAAACCTCTGCACGACAAATACCCTTTTCGAGTCAGTGATCGTGACGTAGATGAAATCGTACCATGTCAGGGTCTGATCTCAAATTCATGACTGATGCCGTGTCTTTCAACCTGAACTACGAATATAAAGTTCTGAACTTGCAAATAATATAATAGAGCTATATATATATATATATATATATATATATATATATATATATATATATATATATATATATATATATATATATATATATATATAATTAATTCATCGAGTCTGATAGAAACCTCAACAGAATGCGGAAATCACTGGACGGCCGTTTCGTCGTATATTTGAGACTCAGTTGAGTTCCGCCACGGAATATGTGAGTGAGCGGCGCTTAGTTGAGTCTGATTTGGGATCCCTTCGTCACCGAGGCCCACTTGGAACAGTTGGTATGATGTTCGCTAGACAACCCAACTGTCAGGGTTTCAATTCTCGATAGTGGATGCGCACTGCTGATGAGTCCCAAATATAGGACGAAACGGCTGTCCAGTGCTTTCTGCATTCTGTTGAGGTTTCTATCAGACTCGATGAATTAATTAAATATAATTATCAAATCCTCCTACTAATTACTATCTATCTATATATATATATATATATATATATATATATATATATATATGTTAGTCAATATTTCAGGCATTCAGCCTCCCTGACAAAGTGAATTTGAGGAATATAAGTCACCATTAGTTGTACAGAATTATGAAGGTACCATCATCTGGAATGTGAGCATTTAAACTGATAGTGTACACCCGGTAAATCGACCAGACATAATTGTTTAAAATAACGTTACAAATTTCTTATGGTAAATATTGCAACGCCATAAAACAAATATATATATTTGGAAACTTTTCGAAAGTTAAGTAAATACAAGGACCTCGAGGTAGAAATCAATGGAATGTGGCACTTCAAGACAACAACATTACCTGTTGTGTAGTGGGATTTGAATGTGATATCAAAAGGAGTAACCAAATATGTGGAACACGTTCTTGATGGTCTTAAAATATGTGAATTGCAATCTATCATACTCATTATTCTCTATAAATTGACTACAATGACATATTTTCTCTCTATTTGCCTGGCTCCTCATCTTCTGATGAGAACAATTTGTATCTTGAAGTCTCTACTTGAGACTTAGTGGCAGGGGCGGCGAACTTGTGCTAGAGAAAATAAAGGCAAAACTACATAAGAACGACAGAGACGATAATAATAATAATAGGTGATACATTAGATAACAAAGTATTTACTTTAACATACCGTAAAACATATATATATATGTGTTTATATATATATATATATATATATATATATATATATATATATATACAAATATTTAATAAAATGCTCTGTTTATAATAAACAGTATTAACGGCATTTATCGGCCTGAATGTCCGAGAAATTTTCATAGAAAATATGCGTCCTCCGACAGGAATGGAACCTGTATCCTATACAGAAACATCATATAGCCTAAGGTGCTTTACCGATTTAGCCACAGAGGAGTGTTTCGGTTAGCAAGGTCGATTTTATTGTTTTTAAACTACAATTCTCCATGATTTTTCTCATGCATTCATATTTGCTCGATGCGTATCTATATGTAAACAAATGACGTCAAACATTATTTAAAAACAAATAAAAGGAAAACGAGAAATTGGGGAAATCAAACGTCAGATATCGATACTTGATGAGATTACAAGACATTCAAATGTTTCAACACGGAAAAGCAAGAAAATCAAGCAGAAATATAAAATTAAGGTAGTTAATGAAATTCCACCAATAAAATAAATACGTAAACAGAAACAGAAATTAAAGGCACAGAGAAGAAGACGATGTGAAAATCGACAAAGTAAGATATTCCAAACGGACCTCAAAACGTCTTACAAGGAAACTGGAAAAGCAGTTATAGAAGTCAAAAGCAGCCATCTTTTAAAGAAATGCATACATTTTGGGAGCATATTTTGAGCCACCCATAGGAAAATAATCCCAATGCAGAGTGAATCAAATGATAACAAAAAAGAATAAAGGATATACCTGTGCAAGAATGGAAAAATATAACCAAGAAAAATGTTATACAAACTCTAGCAAAATCACCAAAATGGAAATCCCCAGGAAATAAGAAGGTACCCTGCTGGTGGTTCTATCATCTTTCTTCATTTCATAAAACTCCTGCACAAATTTTATCAATACAAGTTAATTAACCCATTGTAATTCCAGGATGGAACAATGAAGTTATACCAAAAAAGGTGAAACAGATAATCCAAAAAATGATACGACATCTACATGTTTGTCAACCACATATAAATTGATCACATATGACCTGATAGACTGTACTTACAGTTTTCTCTATTTAAACAACATTCTTGCCCTGGAACAGAAGGGATGTCACAGAGGTTCATAAGTTTGCAAAGATCAACTACTAATAAATAAAATGATCCTGGAAAATTGCAGGAAAAAAGGTAGAAATCTCAGCACAGCTTGGCTAGAATACGGTAAAGCCTTTGATAGTGTGCCACACTTTTGGATCCTTAAGGCTTTGGAAATGCACAAAGTATACTCGGTGATCGTAAATTTCCTTAAATATAGCATGGATCTGTGGAAAACCAGTTTATATCTGTTATGGGACCTACCTTTATGGACTAAATGGACTCGTCCTATTACTATATATACGGGGAGATTATGCCTCTTAAGACAGCTGTCTACAGTTGACCTGTTCCACCTAAACAGTCGAACTCTCTGCCTTCGGGCAGAGAGGAACCCGGACGAGGCCACGCCGAAGGGCAGAGTCTCGCTCAGGGAGGTTGACTGCCCCTGAACCCGTTTATGCGGGTTCAAAGAGGGATTATTTTTGGCAGAGCCTACGGGCTCGGAGATCCCACGTTAAACCGGCCTTGTGCCACCTGTAACCCTCGTGGGGGGGTAACTAAATATCGCTGTCTACAGTTTACTGCTGTACTTTGCCGACGTGCAACACTTTTGTATTCGATCTTTTTGTTTAAAAATATGTTTTCATTAAATTGCTGAGTTCGAGTTTTCTTTCTGACTTATTCTGGGTCCAAAACCATATCTAAATCACGCCAAAGGTACTGTCACTTCTAATTGTTTGAGTATCCGACGAGGAATCTTTCAAGGAGGCACCCTGTCGCTTATTCGGTTCTGTCTGACTTTAACACCCCTTTGTCATGAATCAAACGGTAATAACTATGTGTACAAAGTAAAAATGAAAGTGTTTAATTGTCTATTCTGCATGGATGATGTCAAAACCTTTGGCAAAGACGGCAACAAGTTGAAGCTGTCGTCAGTATCGCAAAATGTTTCAGTGATAACATCGTTATGGATTTCGGATGAGATAAATGTGCAAAAATAACATTCAAGAACGGTCGAATTATAAAAACAAACTGAATATTTGTCAAAAAACATTAAGAAGCCTATCAATACCTTGGAGTTAATGAAGAAGATGAAATACAGCATGGCCAAATAAAAGAAAAAGTGATAAAAGGATATTACAGGAGTGAGCGTCTGGTGTCAAATACCGAGTTGAATTCACAAAACAGAATATCAGCCATAAACACTTTGGCTGTCCGTGGGGTGTAATAGAGTTTCAACGTCCCTGTGGAAAACCGCATTATACCTAAATACCAACAAAGGTACTGTCACTTCTAATTGTTTGGATATCAGAGGAGAAATCTTTTGAAGGAGACTCCCATTCGACCATTCTGTTCTGACTGATCTTAATCTACCTTTCACATGAACTAAACAGTCATAAATATGGATACAAAAGTAAAAAAAGAAAATGTTTAATCACTATTCTTCATGGGTGATAACAAACTCTTTGCCAAAGATGACAAGGTGTTGAAGGTTATCCATCGTAGTGTAAAATTATTTCAGTGATGATATAGGTATGGATCTCAAATCTGATAAATGTCCAAGAGTTAACATTCAAGGAAGGGATAATTACACTAAATGGATCTAGATTTTGTCACAAATATTAAGGAACTGGAACAAGGAGAAGCCTATAGTTACCTAGGAATTGGCGAAGGAGATGGAATACAGCATACCAAAATAAAGGAGAAAGAATACTACGAATGTGTGCGTCTAGTATTGAATATCGATTTTAATTAAAAAAAAAACCCAGAATATCAGCCATAAATACCTTGGCGATATCTGCGATGCAATACAACATCCTTAATTGGACCACAGCTGACATTAAAGGAATGGATGTCAAAACGAGAAAGCTTCTCACTTGCCCAGCGTATGCATTCTCCTAAGGCTGATGTTGATCATTTGTATGTGTATAGATTCGAAGGAAGCTGAGGATTAGTTCCATTACAACTGTCTTACAAAACTGCAACAATTCAAAGATACCTTGAAACTACGGAAGATTGGATGATGATCTGACTCAAAGAACATAAAAGAAATACGAAACTCTATTCAGTAATAAAAGGGAGCCAGCAAATTCAAAAGTAGATTTTCAAGCAAAGAAAAGAACGTAAAAAAAGCAAAAGCAAATGCAATGTAGCAAATGCAGAAACGATAGAAAGATAATCCTTTTTATCGTCAATACTCTGCTTGTACCAAACAAACAGATGTAGACGAACCCTGTGCCCATCAATGGTTACATAGTGCAGGGTTAAACGCTGAAACTGAATGTTTTATGCTTGCTGCTCAGGACCAATGCTTGATAACTAGAAATTACCAAGCACAAATATTGAAATATTCTGTTAACGCGAAATGAAGTTTAAGTGATAAATATCCAGAAATAATTCGTTGTCATATATTATGTTGCACAGTGTTTGCACGCACTGAATATAAAACTCGGCATGATAGATCGGATCAATATCTGCACAGGAAAATATGCAACTTTTACAGAAAAAAAAACCTTCAAGAAACTGGTATAAATATCACCCACACCCTGTTACAGAGATAGGATCTGTGAGAATTTTATGGAATTTCAAGTGAGTGAAGGAATGCAAAGCGTAATACACCTAGTGAAGCAGCAACAAAAAAAAAACTTAAAAAAGAGAGCAAAGGCAAATGAACCAGATACAGAAACGATGGCAAATTAAACCGCTTCACGGTCAGTATTTTGTCCGTAACAAACAAGCTTATGTAGACAAACCCCGTAGTGGATTCGTAGTGCAGGGTCGAAAGCTGAAATCGAAGGTTTTATTCTTTATGCACAGGACAAATGCTTGGTTACAAGAAATTATGAAGCGCGCATACTAAAAATTATGTTAGCTCAAAAGTCAGATTCTTTGATAAATATTCCGAAATAATTAATTGGTCAGGTTGCACGTTATTGGCCCCCACTGAATATAAAACCCGTCATGACCAATATCTGCATTGGGAAATCTGAAAGGTTTACGGAAAGGAAACGAAAATAAATTGATATGAACACCAGCCAAACCCAGTTACAGAGATAGTACTTGTAACAATCTGATGAGACTTTACAATACACAGAAATAGAACAATCAAAGCTAATCGCCCAGACATGGTGATCAGACACCACAAAAAACAAAATGTCCCTTCTTTTTGACATGGCGGTCCCTGCAGACTGTAATGTATCTTTGAAGATCTCCAAAAACTATCAAAATACAAGGACTTTGACATCGAAATCTCAAAAATGTGTCACATGAGGACATCAACAATTCAAGCTGTAGTTAGAGACCTCGGTTTGATTGAAAAAGTACCGAGAGAGTCAATGTAGGGATTCCTGGTAGCCCATATTTTAAAGAAATACAAAAAATTATACTCACAAGTACAGCCCACACGTTATGAAGGGCTTTATCTATGTAAAATATATGTGATCTTAGATTGTTTTTGTTTGTTTTTTTACCTCAAAAAATGCCCAGTGGAAAATGTCATGATGTTATTTCAGGTCTCTGGTTGGGATCCGGAAAGAATTGAGTATACATTAGAAATCAAAGGAAATATAATAATAATAACAATAATAATTAATCTGTGTTGTATAAAGATAGATATCTAAATTTACAGGCATCAGGAAGCAAACGCTATGGCGGCGAATAAACTCTGTAACGTCTTTGTGTAATAAAATCTAAAGAAAATTCATGAATTTTCTATTACATGATTTGATTTAAGTTACATGTAAATGCATAAATAAATGATTGGAAAATATGCTGATTTATGCTCTATCGATCTGACATACTTAATATCGTCTGTTATCTTACATTTTCTGGTTGAATATAATAAGCTGACGACGCCAGTCTGTTTTCTTTCACTCTTACGCTTTATTTTATTTTTCCATTTAACTCAGCGATATCAATGCTTGGCGACGTTATCCTGCAGCAATATTTCCATTCTACCGAACGAGAAAATTAGTTTTAATTAATTCTGCTTTTTTAACATTTTCGAAATTCTTTCTAATATTTCTCAGTAAGTGAAGTTTTCATATATATATAAATGGCGTTTCGTACGAAATAGGTATTTAAGCAACCATCTTGTGTTCCAGTGTAAGAAATTTAAAGGATTTTATTTATTTGTTTATTTATTTCTGGTGCGTGCGTGTGTGTGTCTATTTGTCGATAAATGATCTTCACAAGGAAAATGGAAATAAAATAAATGGGGAAGCGAGAAAATGTGTTATTTTACTCAGTAGAATTCCTATACTTAGTTCTCCATAAATATTCGTTTTGCGCAAACGCCTAAGTGAGTAAATATATTACAATGGAACTGGTATACGTACGTTTGAGGGAAGAAAAGTTTGTAGCAGGCAAAAAAAAAAAGAAAACGAGATAAGAAATATGCCATATGGTAAAGACAGAATGAAGAGAGAGTAATAAAATGTAAATTTGAGAAGAAAGAAAGAAGGAAAGAAGGAAGGAAAGAAAGAAAGAAAGAAATAAGGAAAGAAGGAAGGAAGGAAAGAAAGAAAGAAAGAAAGAAAGAAAGAAAGAAAGAAGGAAGGAAAGAAAGAAAGAAAGAAAGAAGGAAGGAAAGAAAGAAAGAAAGAAGGAAAGAAGGAAGGAAAGAAAGAAAGAAAGAAAGAAAGAAAGAAAGAAAGAAGGAAAGAAGGAAGGAAAGGAAGAAAGAAAGAAGGAAAGAAGGAAGGAAGGAAAGAAAGAAAGAAGGAAGGAAGGAAAGAAAGAAAGAAAGAAGGAAAGAAGGAAGGAAGGAAAGAAAGAAAGAAAGAAAGAAAGAAAGAAAGAAAGAAAGAAAGAAAGAAAGAAAGAAGGAAAGAAGGAAGGAAAGAAAGAAAGAAAGAAGGAAAGAAGGAAGGAAAGAAAGAAAGAAGGAAAGAAGGAAAGAAAGAAAGAAAGAAGGAAAGAAGGAAGGAAAGAAAGAAAGAAAGAAGGAAAGAAGGAAGGAAAGAAAGAAAGAAAGAAGGAAAGAAGGAAAGAAAGGAAAGAAAGAAAAAGAAAGAAGGAAAGAAGGAAGGAAGGAAAGAAAGAAAGAAAGAAAGAAGGAAAGAAGGAAGGAAAGAAAGAAAGAAGGAAAGAAGGAAAGAAAGAAAGAAAGAAAGAAAGAAAGAAGGAAAGAAGGAAGGAAAGAAAGAAAGAAAGAAGGAAAGAAGGAAGGAAGGAAAGAAAGAAAGAAAGAAGGAAAGAAAGAAGGAAAGAAAGAAAGAAAGAAGGAAAGAAGGAAAGAAAGAAAGAAAGAAGGAAAGAAGGAAGGAAGGATGGAAAGAAGGAAGGAAAGAAAGAAAGAAGGAAAGAAAGAAAGAAGAGGAAAAAGAAAGAAACCCACAAACAGAACTAGAAAAATTAAAAAATAAACAATGTTAATAATAAAAAAGGAAAAGAAAAAAAGGAATAACGAATGCAAGAAAGAAAAATTAAGAATAAGGTTAATTAAAAGGTTACATAAAATAAAGGAAGGAAAGACTGCAAGAAAAGGGAAAAGTGAAGAAAAAAGAATGAAAGCAAGTAAAAAAGAAAGAAAAGGGATGTAAGAAAGAAAGAAAGAAAGAAGAAAGAAAGAAAGAAAAAAGAAAGAAAGAAAGAAAAATTAAGGAACAATAAAATAAATAAAAAAAATAACAAAAAGAAAGGAATAGAGTACATGAACGAAAGAAACGAAGGCCGAGATAACGAAAGAAAAGAAAGAACTATATAGAAAAAAAAGAAAGAATAAAAGCAAGGAAGAAAGAGATTGAGGCAAGAAAAGAAAAGGCATGTAAGAAAGAAACAATGAAAAGTTAAGGGAGAATAAAATAAACAAATAATAAAAAAGAAAAAAAGAAAGGAAATGAATGAAAGAAAGAAAGCCAAAGTTAAAGAAAGAAAAGAAAGAAAGAAAAATATAGATAAAATGAAAGAAAAAAATAAAAGAAAGAAAGAAAAGAAAAAAGTCATGTAAGAAAGAAACAATGAAAAAGTAAGGAAGAATAAAATAAGCAAAAAAGAAAGAATAAAAGAAAATAAATGAAAGAAACAAAGGAAAAATAATGAAAATAAACAAAGAAACAGAAGATACAGATAAAGAAAAAAGAAAGGTAAAACAATGACAGCAAGAAAAAAAAAAGAAAGAGAGTAAGGACAAAAGGATGAATGCAAAGAAAAAAAAAGGACATATAATGTAGTGGACAACAAAAAGTAAGAAAGAATAAAAAGCAAAAAAGAAAGGAAGGAAAAAAAGAAACAGTAAAGGACTGAAAAATACGAAGGGAAAGAGAATAAAAAAAAGAAATGAAAGAAAGATGAATTTAAAAAGAATTGAAGAAAAAAAGAAAAATAAGAAAAGAAAATAAAGTATGAAATGAACAAAAAAATTAGATAAAACAATAAAATAAATAAATAAATGAAAAGAAAGAATCAAGAGAGAAAGCAAGATAGATTGATTCGGTTTGTTTTACGGCATATCCACTTCAATGGGTTATTTAATGTCAACAAAATTTTATTGCTGGTAATTTTTTTTTTTTTTTAAAGCATTTCTGGCTATATTTTTTCCAAAAAAGTACTGCTGGTAATACTGCATTGCTGGTAATAATTTGTTCTTCAAAAATTTATTGCTGGTAATAATTTTTTACAAAAATGTATTTCTGGCATTAAAACCTATATTTACACTTTCATAGTGACTGAAAAATACGAAGGGAAAGAGAATAAAAAAAAGAAATGAAAGAAAGATGAATTTAAAAAGAATTGAAGAAAAAAAAAGAAAAATGAGAAAAAAAAATAAAGTATGAAATGAACAAAAAAAATTGATAAAACAATAAACAAAACAATAAATAAGTAAATAAATGAAAAGAAAGAGAGAAAGCAAGATAGATTAATTTGGTTTGTTTTACGGTATATCCACGTCAATGGGTTATTTAATGCCGACAAAATTTTTATTGCTGATAATATTTTTTTTTTCCAAAAAGCATTTCTGGCAATATTTTTCCAAAAAAAGTACTGCTAGCAATAATGTATTGCTGGTAATACTTTCTTCTTTTAAAGTTTATTGCTGGTAATAATTTGTTCTTCCAAAATTTATTGCTGGTAATAATTTTTTACAAAAATGTATTTCTGGCATTAAAACCTATTTTTATACTTTCATAGTGTTTTGACCCCAGTTTTGGGATGGCTATTTGCCCATAGCTGGAATCCTAACAGATCTACCATCCCGAGTCAGGATGGACCTGGGAACACCAGCAATTAAGAGGTGGTTCCACGCTCCTCAAAAACCTCCTGATCAGAGGCCTTGCTGTCTGATGCAGTTTATCGTATTACCCTGGACGCAAATGTAAGATAGAAAGTAATTTTCAATTATCAATCCGATTCACACTAGGTATAAACAGACTGAAACAGATGCAATATAATATTAGTTGGTAATATTAGTCATTCATAAATTTTACATAATCTCAAATAATCTTTAATATATTTAATATGCTTTTCTGTTTGATTAATGAACCTAAAATATCTTTCTATCAGTCCGACTAGAAAATCATCAAATGGCGTCGTGCGATAAGAATCTTACGATTTTATATTATCAAGAAAACAATATTATAACAATCGCAGCATTCCGGGGGAATGAATATTCGGTTTAATTAAAGATGGGATATTTTTATGCAATGTCAGAGTCACTTTCTAATAAACAAAATTGAATTATCAACAAAGGTGACTTGCCGGCGAAACAGTGATGAGTTAAGCTGTAGTAAATCATACGATATCTTATAGAAATAAACAAACTCAAATGTCCTGCAAGAAATTATTTTAATGTGCTTAGAGCCGGCGCGTGGAAATGATTATTTCGAGGACAGAATGAAATAGATAAACGAGGAAACTTTATATCAGACCACGTACTGTAATGCATAGGTTAGAATTTAAAGAATTTCCACTGAAACAGTGCAACGGCTAAAGATTAGCTTAAACGAGTAACCACCAGTACTTTTATGGACACTTCAAAACTTAACGGTGAAATAGAAAAATAATTAGTCATACCACCATGTCTCTTTCTCGTCGATTTACCCCCATTTTTTTTCAACAAAGTGTAATTTACAAGATTTGCTTAAAAAATGGCCACACGGGTTCTAAGGATTATCTTAATGCACCAACACACACACACACACACACACACACACACACACACACACATCATTATATATATATATATATATATATATATATATATATATATATATATAACGGTGTTCCAATAACTTGGACCGATTTAAATGTGAATTAATTTAAAGCGTCTAATTATTTGTTTTCTTTTTCTTTCAGATTTGGCGGACATTTTATATGATATTATTTTTCACGCATAATTGGCATGAGTTAAATAACGTGATCTTATAGGGAAATAAATACATTTTCACCAATAACACTGATTTATTTCTGCTGACTTTGATGTGTCCTAATGAGACACTCATCCTAGAAGCCCTTTATATAAGAGAAATTAAAGCCAAAAATAGAGTTAACTATAAGTATAGCAGTAAAGTTCTTAAATGTTTGTGGAAGCAAGTTATATACATATATATATATATATATATATATATATATATATATATATATATATATATATATAAAAAAAAGAAGGAAATACAAAAGTTGTTTTCTTGCATGTAAAAACTCATGAATTTGAAATTAATATAGAACGAAAAAAAAACGCAATAAAACCAACAGTAAAAATGTTTTCAATTTACAGAAAGACGTATAAGCATACACAGATAATTTAACCTCTCTTAAGACGGTGTCAGATGAGACTGAAAGTACCTTAGGAATATAAAAATTATTTGAAAGAAAATTTTGGTATTTTTCTTAATCAATTTCCTACGCCTACCAAGAAATTGATTCGTGGACTCGAAAGGATTAAAACAAAAATAAACAGACATAGGATGTCTAAATTATTTAACCAAACCTGTAGTCATTTCACCTCTTGAAGGCAATAAATCCAATAAGACGCAAGGTGTACGGGAGAATATGAGATAAAACATTACGATATTGAAAGAATTTTGGGGAGATAATAACTTTTTAATGATGCAAGCTGTACTAATTAACATATAGCTGATGAAAAAGAGATTGATACGTTTTACAATTTAATTTTCACGTAAGTCTATATAACGAATCCGTTTGGAACTGGAACTTGCCTCCCTGATTTTCAATTCTGAGCCGTTATCGACGAGACCAACCGCACACACAAGCTTATTGCATGTAGTATTAACAAGCATTTACGCATCTAGGTACTGACTAGGCTCGACGTTGCTTAACTTCTGTGGTTGAACAGATGTTTCGGCCTGTTATAGCCGTAAGCCAATAAGAAGAACAAAGATGGAGAAGCACGATGACCTGTGTTCTGCAATGAAGTAGAAATATGTAAAACAGAAGTGAAAGCGTCTGGTAGAATTTCACAGTCACGAGGCAAAACAAGCGAGGAAAACAGCTAATAACCTACTTGTGTATGAGTGAATGTGTTTTAGTTTTCTCAAGAAGTGTTATACCGGAACGTACCTTTTTCTATTGTAAATAGACTCTCCCACAGATAATTAGTAGTAGTAGCTGTTGCCAGTGAGGCTCAGAGGGAGTTGTGTGAGTCAGTCGATGTCGGACATTAAAGATTGCTGCGTCATTAACTATTATTGCAAGTTCCTAACATTTTGTACGTCGAACCTAATTTAGGACCGATTTAGTGAAATACAAGCCTCCACTGCGAAAACTACTCTACAACACATTTGGTGACGAGGGATTCGTTTCTCATACGGGAAAAGAAAAAGTTTTCGTTCATTCTATAACAACACATTGGCGACCAGAATTCGAAATTCATACGAAAAAAAAATTTTAAGAAAAAAAAATTCGTTTCGCCATATACAACACTTGGCGACGAACGTATTTTGGACTCATACGGAAAAAAAACTTTGCATTCACTCTACAACACTTGTCGACGTGGATTCGTAACTCATACAGAAGAGGAAAAATAAATTTCACCCTTCATAACAAACGTGGCGTACGAGGGATTGGGTTTCATACAACATCTTGGATTGACATTTAAAAAAAAAAAAAAAACTTGACAAAGTTTTTTCGAAAGACAAGACGTCAACTTAGTGACGAAAAAATCAGTCGTATTCTCAACTGAGAAAAGAATTTTTTCTCGATAAGACAGTTTGCTTTAAATAGGTCACGAATTACAAATTCGTTTTGAACCCCTCTACAATATTTAAGATTGTGTAAACTTTTTGCGAAGATGGAGGAATGCAAAATATATTCAGGAATTTTAAGTTCCAGACGGAACAACAAATGACAATATAGAGCAACAGAAAACATTCCAGATGCAACTACAGGAGGAAACTTTTAAGAGACAGATGCAATTTCAACGAGAAATGGAACAAATGCATAAGGGAGTTTCAAAACAAAATTTGAAATAATTGAGAAGAGGAAAGAAAAAAATACAAAATGATTCTTTCCCCAGAGAATACAATATGGAATCCGATTGAAATATTCACGTACAGTCCGGATGAAGAGATAACTTTGAAGAGTATTATAAAAATATACGGACGTGTATAACGAGGACTGCCACATGTGGTCTGAAGCAAAAGAAGGTTAGACTTCTTTTAAAGCATGTTAGAACTGCTGAGCATAACATATTGGTAAACCACATTTTTACCGAAAAACGAGCGAGTTAACTTTTACCGAGGCCCGGTAAATATATTAAGTGAATTATTTAGTAAAAAGACATCTTTGTTTCACAAGAGGTGGAAATGTCTGAATCTGATGAAAGATGAAGAACAAGACTATATAACGTATGCAGCCAATGTGAACAAGCATTGTGAAGAATTCAAGCTAGCAGAGTTAAGCGCTGACAACTTTAAGTGCTTAGTATTTGTTCAAGGACTAGTATCAGAAAGAGACGCAGAATTGAGGAAATTGTTACTTTCAAAATTGGAAAACTAACAAAGCATTACGATACAGAGTTTGGCAGAAGACTGCACAAGATATGTTAGCGTAAAAAAAAGACTCGAAAAAGATAGAACATTCTGGCGTTTCGCATGTAAGGAAAATACGCTACAAAAAAGAAAGTCAGTCTACCAAAAAGAATTCTAAAATTGCGGATTATCAAACAAAAAGTGAAATACCAGAAAAAAATAAACAAAACTCCCAAATCCATGTTTTTGCTTACGGTGAACTTCACTGGTACAGATATTGCAATTTAGGAATAAAAATGTTTCAACTGTGAAAGAGTGGGGGGCAAAAGCTCGCACTGCAGGTAAAAAAAAATAAAGACTTTTAAATAAGAAAATTAAAGTCCGACAAGTGAACGACGGAATAACCAGAACATTTTTTACCGTCGAAATAAGTAATAAAAAAATAAAAATGCAACTCGACACAGGTTCCGAAAAAAAACAGAAAAGCGGATTGGCTATATGAGGTACTTGGTGAAAGGGGAAAACCCACGCAGGAACGAGATCAGACGACGTTTTTCAGACTTGGCTTGACAGAAGCCCCACGAAAAAAAAAAAAAAAAAAAAAAAAACGCCGATGGAGGTGATTTTCAATAAGTTTGATGAAACAACCCCTGCAAATAATTTTATCTAAGGTACGCCGATCCAGAACAAAAAAAGAAAGGCAACTGATCATTTAAAAGTGGATAAAAAAACCTAGGAAATACGTTTACGATGTTGCTAAAAAAAAAAAAAAATTTTTTTTTTGTTGTTTTTTCTTCATATTTTCTGTAAAAATTTGAAAAATAAATAAAGAAAGAAAACTTTTTACTCGTCCGGAGTAAAGTTTTAGTGGGGGGGATATTATACCGGAACGTACATATTTCTATTGTAAATAGACTCTCCCACAGATAATAAGTAGTAATAGTAGTAGCAGTCGCCAGTGAGGCTCAGAGGGAGTTGTGTAAATCAGTCGATGTCGGACATTAAAGTATGAGTCCCACAACTAGATTGCTGCGTCATTGACGTTTTGCACGTCGAACCTAATTTAGGACCGACTTAGTGAAATACAAGCCTCCACTGTGAAAACTACTCTACAACAAGAAGGTATGGCAATTTTTACATACGTAAAGGAATCTTTGGAGAGACATGGTCGCCTATTAGCTGGTAGTTAAGAAATCCTCAGATAAGCCAGTACATCCACATATGGAAATAGACACGCGCAAAGCATACGTTTACAGAAACCTATGACTCCGTTTAAATAAGGAATTTAAAATTAAACGATTTCGAAATAGAAAAAAAAGTTTACGTCAAAAAATGATGTATCGTTGCCTGCTGAAAAAAAAAACTTGCTTTGAGAGATGCACAGAGATGAAAATTTGGATACGAAAAAATAATTGATGATTACTGAATTATAAATTACGGCCGTGAAGACAACTGATGCGGCAATTATATTAATATTGAAAATATTTAAGAACAATCGGAAAATGGATGGGTTTGAATTGGTGAAAGGAAAACGCATGAAGGCTAGTAAAAAGCTGAAATTTTACTAAGGAGATTTATATAATATAAAACAAGTGATAAAATGACATTCAGAGAATAGATGTGAAAAAGACGTCATGTTGCTTGTAATTTGCTTTACAAAAAAGACCGAGGGAAAAGAAAATGTCTGAATTAAAACGAAAAAGAAAAGAGAAAGAAACAGGGTGAGCATAAAAGGAGAAAGAAGTGGTAAGGAAAGGAGGAAGAGGTAAGGAAAGGAGAAAGAAGAGATAAGGAAAGGAGGAAGAGGTAAGAAAAGGAGGAAGAGATAAGAAAAAGTGGAAGAGATAAGGAAAGGAGGAAGAGGTAAGGAAAGGAGGAAGAGGTAAGGAAAGGTGGAAGAGATAAGGAAAGGAGAAAGAAGACGTAAGGAAAGGAGGAAGAGGTAAGGAAAGGAGGAAGAGGAAAGGAAAGGAGAAAGAGATAAGGAAAGGTGGAAGAGATAAGGAAAGGTGGAAGAGGTAAGGAAAGGAGAAAGAAGAGGTAAGGAAAGGAGGAAGAGGTAAGGAAAGGAGAAAGAGATAAGGAAAGGTGGAAGAGGTAAGGAAAGGAGAAAGAAGAGGTAAGGAAAGGAGAAAGAAGAGGTAAGGAAAGGAGGAAGAGGTAAGGAAAAAAGGAAGAGGTAAGGAAAGGTGGAAGAGATAAGGAAAGGTGGAAGAGGTAAGGAAAGGAGAAAGAAGAGGTAAGGAAAGGAGGACGAGGTAAGGAAAGGAGAAAGAAGAGATAAGGAAAGGAGGAAGAGGTAAGGAAAGGAGAAAGAAGACGTAAGGAAAGGAGGAAGAGATAAGGAAAGGTGGAAGAGATAAGGAAAGGAGGAAGAGGTAAGGAAAGAGGAAGAGGTAAGGAAAGGTGAAAGAAGAGGTAAGGAAAGGAGGAAGAGGTAAGAAAAGGGGGAAGAGATAAGGAAAGGTGGGAGAGATAAGGAAAGGAGGAAGAGGTAAGGAAACGTGGAAGAGGTAAGGAAAGGTGGAAGAGATAAGGAAAGGTGGAAGAGGTAAGGAAAGGAGGAAGAAGAGATAAGGAAAGGAGGAAGAGGTAAGGAAAAGAGGAAGAGGTAAGGAAAGGTGGAAGAGAGATAAGGAAAAGGTGGAAGAGGTAAGGAAAAGGAGAAAAGAGGTAAGGAAAGGAGGACGAGGTAAGGAAAGAGAAAGAAGAGATAAGGAAAAGGAGGAAGAGGTAAGAAAGGAGAAAAGAAGACGTAAGGAAAGGAGGAAGAGATAAGGAAAGGTGGAAGAGATAAGGAAAGGAGGAAGAGGGTGAAAGGAGGAAGAGGTAAGGAAAAGGTGAAAAGAAGAGGTAAGTAAAGGAGGAAGAGGTAAGAAAAGGGGGAAGAGATAAGGAAAGGTGGGAGAGATAAGGAAAGGAGGAAGAGGTAAGGAAACGTGGAAGAGGTAAGGAAAGGTGGAAGAGATAAGGAAAGGTGGAAGAGGTAAGAAAAGGAGGAAGAGATAAGGAAAGGTGGAAGAGTTAAGGAAAGGAGAAAGAAGAGATAACGAAAGGAGGAAGAGGTAAGGAAAGGAGGAAGAGGTAAGGAAAAGAGGAAGAGGTAAGGAAAGGAGGAAGAGGTAAGGAAATGAGGAAGAGGTAAGAAAAGGAGGAAGAGGAAAGGAAAGGAGGAAGAGATAAGGAAAGGAGGAAGAGGTAAGGAAATGTGGTAGAGGTAAGGAAAGGAGGAAGAGATAAGGAAATGTGGAAGAGGTAAGGAAAGGAGGAAGAGATAAGGAAAGGTGGAAGAGGTAAGGAAAGGAGGAAGAGGTAAGGAAGGGAGAAAGAGATAAGGAAAGGAGGAAGAGGTAAGGAAAGGAGGAAGAGGTAAGGAAAAGTGGAAGAGATAAGGAAAGGTGGAAGAGATATGGAAACGAGGAAGAGATAAGGAAAGGTGGAAGAGATAAGGAAAGGAGGAAGAGGTAAGGAAAGGAGGAAGAGATAAGGAAAGGTGGAAGAGATAAGGAAAGGAGGAAGATATAAGGAAAGGTGGAAGAGATAAGGAAAGGAGGAAGAGTTAAGGAATGGAGGAAGAGGTAAGGAAAGGAAGAAGAAGAAATAAGCAAAGGAGGAAGAGGTAAGAAAAGGAGGAAGAGGTAAGGAAAGGAGGAAGAAGAGATAAGGAAAAGAAGAAGAGATAAGGAAAGGAGGAAGAGGTGAGGAAAGGAAGAAGAGGTAAGGAAAGGAGGAAGAGATAAGGAAAGGTGTAAGATATAAGGAAAGGAGGAAGAGGTAAGGAAAGGAGGAATAGGTAAGAAAAGGGGGAAGAGATAAGGAAAGGAGGAAGAGGTAAGGAAAGGAGGATGAGATAAGGAAAGGAAGAAGAGGTAAGGAAAGGTGGAAGAGGTAAGGAAAGGAGAAAGAAGAGATAAGGAAAGGAGGAAGAGGTAAGGAAAGGGGGAAGTGGTAAGGAAAGGAGGAAGAGGTAAGAAAAGGAGGAAGAGGTAAGGAAAGGTGAAAGAGATAAGGAAAGGTGGAAGAGGGGAAGGAGGAAGGAGGAAGAGGTAAGGAAAGGTGGAAGAGATAAGGAAAAGGAGAAAGAAAAAAGGTGAAGGGCAAGGAAAGGAGAAAGAAGAGGTAAGGAAAGGGAGGAAGAGGTAAGGAAAGGAGAAAGATGAGGTAAGGAAAGGAGGAAGAGGTAAGGAAAGGAAAAGAAGACGTGAGAAAGAAGGAAGAGGTGGGAAAGGGAGGAAGGGGTAAGGAAAAAAGAGAAAGAAGAAGGTAAGGAAAGGAGGAAGAAGAGGTAAGGAAAAAAAGGAAGAGGTAAGAAAGGTGAAAGAGATAAGGAAAGGTGGAAGAGGGTAAGGAAAGGAGGAAGATGTAAGGAAAGGAGGAAGAGGTAAGGGAAAGGAGGAAAGAAGAAAGGAGGAAGAGGTAAGGAAAGGAGAAAGAAGACAAGGAAAGGAGGACGAGGTAAGGAAAGGAGAAGAAGAGATAAGGAAAGGAGGAAAGAAGTAAAGGAAAGTAGAAAGAAGACGTAAGGAAAGGGAGGAAGAGATAGAGGAAAGGTAAAGAGATAAGGAAAGGAGAAGAGGTAAGAAAGAGGGAAGAGGAAATGAAAGGTAAGAAGAGGAAGAAAAAGAGGAAGAGGTAAGAAAAAGGAAGAGATAAGGAAAAGAGATAAGGAAAGGAGGAAGAGGTAAGGAAAGGGGAAGAGGTGGAAGAAAGGGAAGAAGAGATAAGAAAGGAAGAGGTAAGGAAAGGTGGAAGAAGAGATATGAAAAGATGGAAGAGGTAAGGAAAGGAGGAAGAAGATAAAGGAAAGGAGGAAGAGGTAAGGAAAAAGGTAAGAGATAAGAAAGGTGGAAGAGAAAAGGAAAAGAGGAAGAGATAAGGAAAGGAGGAAGAGATAAGGAAAAAGGAGGAAGAGGTAAGGAAAGGAGGAAGAGATAAGAAAAGGAAGAAGAGGTAAGGAAAGGAGAAAAGGAAAGGAAAAAGAAAGGTGGAAAGAGGAAGAGAAAGGAGGAAAAGAGGTAAGGAAAGGAGGAAGAGGTAAAAAAGGAAAGGAGAAAGAGATAAGAAAAGGAAAGGACGAAGAGGTAAGGAAAGGAGAAAGAAGAAGAGATAAGGAAAGGAGGAAGAGGTAAGAAAGGAGGAAGAGGTAAGGAAAGGAGGAAGAAGAGATAAGGAAAAAGAAAGGAGGAAAGGAGGAGAGGTAAGAAAGGAGAAAGAAGAGATAAGGAAAGGAGGAAGAGGTAAGGAAATAGAAAGAAGAGGTAAGGAAAGGAAGAGATAAGGAAAGGAGGAAGAGGTAAGGAAAGGAGGAAGAGGTAAGGAAAGGTGGAAGAGGTAAGGAAAGAAGAGGTGGAAAAGAGGAAGAGATAAGGAAAGGGGAAGAGGAAGAAGGAAAGGAGGAAGAGGTAAGGAAAGGAGAAAGAGGTAAGGAAAAGTGGAAGACGTAAGGAAAGGTGGAAGAGATAAGGAAAGGTGGAAGAGGGGAAGGAAAGGAAAGAGGAAGAGGAAGGAAAGGAAAGAAAAGGTAAGGAAAGAGGAAGAGGTGGAAAGGAGGAAGAAGAGATAAGAAAGGGGAAGAAGAGAAAAGGAGGAAGAGGTAAGAAAAAGGGGGAAAGGAGAAAGGAAAGGTGGAAGAGGTAAGGAAAGGAGGAAGAGGAGAGGAAAGGAGAAAGAAGAGGGGAAGGAAAGGAGGAAGAGATAAGGAAAAGGAGGAAGAAGAGACAAGGAAAGGAAAAGAGAAAGAAAGAGGAAGAAGAGAGGTAGAAAAGGAGAAGAGGTAAGGAAAGGAGGAAGAGGGTAAGGAAAGGAGAAAGAAGAGATAAGGAAAGGAGGAAGAGGTAAGGAAGGAGGGAAGAGGTAAGGAAAGGAAGAAGAGATAGAAAGGAGGAAGAGGTATGGGGAAATGAGAAGAGAAAGGAAAAAGGAAGAGGTAAGGAAAGGAGGACGAGGTAAGAAAGGAGGAAGAGATAAGGAAAGAGGAAGAAATAGAAAAGGGGGGAAGACATAAGGAAAAGGAGGAAGGAAAGGAGAAAGAAGAGGGAAGAGAAAGAAGAAGAGAAAGGAAAGGGAAGAGGTAAGGAAAGAGGAAGAGGTAAGGAAAGGAGGAAGAGGTAAGGAAAAGGGAAGAGGTAAGAAAAGGGGAAGAGGTAAGGGAAAGGTGGAAGAGGTAAGAAAGGAGGAAGAGGTAAGGAAACGAGGAAGAAGAGAAAGGTAAAGAGAAAGAGGAAGAGGTAAGGGAAAGGAGAAGAGAGGTAAGGGAGGAAGAGAAAGGAAATGAGGAAGAGGTAAGAAAGGAGGAAGAAGAGATAGGAAAGGGAGGAAGAGGTAAGGAAAGAGGAAGAGGTAAGGGAAGGAGGAAGAGGAAAAGAAAAAGGGGAGGAAGAGATAAGGAAAGGAGGAAGAGATAATGAAAGGTAAAGAGGTAAGGAAAGGGAGGAAAGAGAGGCGAAAGGAGGAAGAGGAGAAGGGAAAGGAGAAAGAGAGAATGGAAAGGGAAGAGAAAAAGGAAGAGAAAGAAGAGAAGAGATAAAAAGGAGGAAGAGGCAGGAAGGAAAGGAGAAAGAAGAGGGTAAGGAAAGTTGAGAAAGAAAAGGTCAGAAAGGAGGAAGAGATAAGGAAAGTGGAAGAGGTAACGAAAGGTGGAAGAGATATGAAAGGAGGAAGAGGTAAGGAAAGGTGGAAGATAAGAAAGGAGGATAGAGGCAAAGGAGGAAGAGTAAGGAAAGGGGGAAAAGAAGAGATAAGAAAAGGAGGAGATAAGGAAAGAGGAAGAAGAGATAAGGAAAGAGGAAGAGTTAAGGAAAGGAGGAAGAGGTTAGGGAAAAAGGGAGGAAGAGGTAAGGAAAGGAGAAAAAGAGATGAAGGAAAGGTGGAAGAGGTATGAAAAGGAGAAAGAGATAAGGAAAGGAGGAAGAGGTAAGGAAAGGAGGAAGAGATAAGGAAATGTGGAAGAAAGATATGGAAAAAGGAAAGGAAGAGAAAGGAGGAAAGGATAAGGAAAGGAGGAAGAGGTAAGGAAAGGAGGAAGATATAAGGAAAGCAGGAAGAGATAAGGAAAGGAGGAAGAGATGTAAGGAAAGGAGGGAAGAGATAAGGAAAGGAAGAAGAGATAAGGAAAGGAGGAAGAGGTAAGGAAAGGAGGAAGAGGAAGAAAGGAAAGGAAGAGATATGGAAAGGAAAGGAGGAAGAGGTAAGAAAAGAGGAAGAAGAGATAAGGAAGAGGTAAAAAGGAAGAGAAAAAGGAGGAAGAGGTAAGAAAAGGAAGAAAGAGATATGAAAGGAGAGAAGAGGGGGAAAGGAGGAAAGGAGGAAGAGGTCAGGAAAAGGAAGAGATAAGGAAAGGTGGAAGAGGTAAGGAGGAAGAGAAAAAGGGGGAAGAGGAAAGGAGGAAGAGATAAGGAAAGGAAAGGAAAGAGATAAGGAAAGGAGAAAGGAAAAAGGAAAGGAGGAAGAGGAAGAGATAAGGAAAGGAAGAAGAAGGAAAGGAAAGGAGAAAAGGATGAAAGGAAAGGAGGAAGAGATAAGGAAAGGGGAAGAGATAAGGAAAGGAGGAAGAAAGGAGAAGAGAAAGGAGAAAGAAGAGATAAGGAAAGGAGGAAGAGGTAAGGAAAGGAGGAAGAGGTAAGAAAGGAGGAAGAAGAGAAGGAAAGGAGGAAGAGGTGGGAAAGGAGGAAGAGGTAAGGAAAGGGAGGGAAGGAGAGGAAGAAAGGTCAGAAAGGAGGAAGAGGTGGGTGAAAGGAAGAGGAAGGAAAAGGAGGAAGAGAAGGAAAGGAAAGGTAGGAAGGTGGAAGAGATAAGGAGGAGGAAAGAGGGAAAGGTGGAAGAGGTAAGAAAAGGGGAAAGAGGTAAGGAAAGGAAGAGATAAGGAAAGGAGGAAGAGATAAGGAAAGGAGGAAGAAATAAGGAAAGGGGGAAGACATAAGGAAAGGAGGAAGAGGTAAGGAAAGGAGAAAGAAGAGATAAGGAAAAGAAGAAGAGATAAGGAAAGGAGGAAGAGGTGAGGAAAGGAGGAAGAGGTAAGGAAAGGAGGAAGAGATAAGGAAAGGTGGAAGAGATAAGGAAAGGAGGAAGAGGTAAGGAAAGGAGGAAGAGGTAAGGAAAGGAGGAAGAGATAAGGAAAGGAGGAAGAAGAGATAAGGAAAGGAGGAAGAGGTAAGGAAAGGAGAAAGAGGTAAGGAAAGGAGGAAGAGGTATGGAAAGGAGGAAGAGATAAGGAAAGGAGGAAGAATAGATAAGGAAAGGAGGAAGAGGTAAGGAAAGAGGAAGAGGTAAGAAAAGGAGGAAGAGGAAAGAAAGGAGGAAGAGATAAGGAAAGGTGGAAGAGATAAGGAAAGGAGGAAGAGGTAAGGAAAGGAGGAAGAGATAAGGAAAGGAGGAAGAAGAGATAAGGAAAGGAGGGAAGAGAAGGAATGAGGAAGAGGTAAGAAAAAGGAGGAAGAGGTAAGGAAAGGAGAAGAGATAAGGAAAGGAGGAAGAGGTAAGGAAAGGAGAAAGAAGAAAGGAAAGAGAAAGAAAGGAAGAGATAAGAGATAAGGAAGAGGAAGAAAGGTGGAAGAAATAAAGGAAAGGAGGAAGAGGTAAGGAAAGGTGGAAGAGATATGAAAAGGAGGGAAGAGGATAAATGTCAGGAGGAAGAGGTTAAGGAAAGGGAAAAGAAGAGATAAGGAAAGGAGGAAAGATATAAGGAAAGGGGGAAGAGGTAAGGAAAGGAGGAAAAGATAAGGAAAGGAGGAAGAGATAAGGAAAGGAGGAAGAAGAGATAAGGAAAGGTGGAAGAGTTAAGGAAAGGAGGAAGAGGTTAGAAAAGGAGGAAGAGGTAAGGAAAGGAGAAAGAGATAAGGAAAGGTGGAAGAGGTAAGGAAAGGAGAAAGAAGAGATAAGGAAAGGAGGAAGAGATAAGGAAAGGTGGAAGAGATAAGGAAAGGTGGAAGAGATAAGGAAAGGTGGAAGAGATAAGGAAAGGAGGAAGATATAAGGAAAGGTGGAAGAGGTAAGGAAATGGGTGAAGACGTAAGGAAAGGAGGAAGAAGAAAAAGAAAGGAGGAAGAAATAAGAAGGAGGAAGAGGTAAGGAAAGGAGGAAGAGATAAGGAAAGGAAAAGGTAAGAAAAGGTGGAAGAGGTGAAGAAAAGGAGAAAGAGATAAGGAAAGGATAGAAGTGGTAAGAAAGGTAGAAGAGGTCAGGAAAGGAGGAAGAGATAAGGAAAGGAGGAAGAGGTCAGGAAAGGAGAAAAGAGATAAGGAAAGAAGGAAGACGTAAGGAAAGGAGAAAAAGAGATAAGGAAAGGAGGAAGAGGGGTGAAAGGAGAAGAGATAAGAAAGGAGGAAGAGGTAAGGAAAGGTAAAGAGATAAGAAAGGAGAAAAAGATAAGGAAATGAGGAAGAGGTAATGAAAGGAGGAAGAGATAAGGAAAGGAGGCAGACGTAAGGAAAGGAGGAAGACGTAAGGAAAGGAGGAAGAGATAAGGAAAGGTGGAAGACGGGAGGAAAGGAGGAAGAGGTAAGGAAAGGAGGAAGAGGTAAGGAAAGGAGGAAGAGATATGAAAGGTGGAAGACGTAAGGAAAGGAGAAAGAGATAAGGAAAGGGAGGAAGACGTAAGGAAAGGAGGAAGAGATAAGGAAAGGAGGTAAGAAAGGTGGAAGAGATAAAGGAGGAAAAAAGAGATAAGGAAATGAGGAAGAGGTAAGGAAAGGAAGAGATAAGAAAGGAGGAAGAGGTAAAGAAAGAGAAAGAAGAGATAAGGAAAGGAGGAAGAGGTAAGGAAATGAGGAAGAGGGAAAGGAGGAAGAGATATGGAAATGGTGGAAGAGATAAGGAAAGGAGAAAAGAAGAGATAAGGAAAGGAGGAAGAGGTAAGGAAATGAGGAAGATGTAAGAAAAGGGGGAAGTGGAAGAAGATAAGGAAAGGAGAAAGAGGTAAGAAGGAAAGGAGTGGAAGATGTAAGGAAGGGGGAAGAGATAAGGAAAGGAGAAGAGGTAAGGAAAAGGTGGAAGATGTTAGAAAGGAGGAAGAGATAAAGAAAGGGGAAGATGTTAGGAAAGGAGGAAGAGATAAGGAAAGGAGGAAGAGATAAGGAAAGGGGGAAGTGGTAAGGAAAGGAGGAAGAGGTAAGGAAAGGAGGAAGAGATAAGGAAAGGGGGAAGTGGTAAGGAAAAGGGGAGAATGAGGAAAGGGAAGGAGGAAGATAAGGAAAGGAAGAAGAAAGAAAGAGAAAAAGGAGGAAGAGGTAAGGAAATGAGGAAGAGATAAGGAAAGGGGGAAGTGGTAAGGAAAAGAGGAAGAGGTAAGGAAAGGAGGAAGAGGTAAGGAAAGGAGAAAATGATAAGGAAAGTTGGAAGAGGTAAGGAAAGTAGAAAGAAGAGATAAGGAAAGGAGGAAGAGGTAAGGAAAGGAGGAAGAGATAAGGAAAGGAGGAAGAGGTAAGGAAAGGAGGAAGAAGAGATAAGGAAAGGAGGAAGAGGTAAGGAAATGAGGAAGAGGTAAGGAAAGGAGAAAGAAGAGATAAGGAAAGGAGGAAGAGGTAAGGAAAGGAGGAAGATGTAAGGAAAGGAGGAAGAGATAAGGAACGGTGGAAGAGATAACGAAAGGAGAAAAAATAGATAAGGAAAGGAGGAAGATGGAAGGAAAGGTGGGAGATAAAGGAAAGGGGAAGTGGAAAGGAAAGGAGGAAAGAGGTAAGGAAAGGAGGAAGAGGAAAGAAGGAAGGGAGAGGACAAGGAAAGGAGGAAGAGGTAAGGAAAGGTGGAAGATGTTGGGGAAGGGAGGGAAGGAGATAAGGAAAAGGGGGAGAGTGAGGAAAGGAGGAAGAGATAAGGAAAGGAGGAAGAGATAAGGAAATGGGAAGTGAAAGGAAAGGAGGAAGAGGTAAGGAAAGGAGGAAGAGATATGAAAGAAAAGGGAAGTGGTAAGCAAAGGAGGAGAGGTAAGGAAAAGAGGAAGAGGGGATAAGGAAGGGAGAAAGAGTTAAGGAAAGGAGGAAGAGGTAAGGAAAGGTGGAAGAGTTTAGGAAAGGAGGAAGAGATAAGGAAAGGTGGAAGAGATAAGGAAAGGAGGAAGAGATAAGGAAAGGAGGAAGGGATAAGGAAAGAGGGAAGTGGTAAGGAAAGGAGGAAGAGATAAGAAAAGGAGGAAGAGGTAAGGAAAGGAGGAACAGATAAGGAAAGGTGGAAGAGATAAGGAAAGGAGGAAGAGGTAAGGAAATGTGGATGAGGTAAGGAAAGGAGAAAGAAGAGGTAAGGAAAGGAGGAAGAGGTAAGAAAAGGAGGAAGAGATAAGGAAAGGTGGAAGAGATAAGGAAAGGTGGAAGAGGTAAGGAAAGGAGAAAGAGGTAAGGAAAGGAGGAAGAGGTAAGGAAGGGAGAAAGAGATAAGGAAATGAGGAAGACATAAGGAAAGGTTGAAGAGGTAAGGAAAGGAGGAAGAGATAAAGAAAGGGGGAAGTGGTAAGGAAAGGAGGAAGAGATAAGGAAAGGGGGAAGTGGTAAGGAAAGGAGGAAGAGATAAGGGAAGGAGGAAGAGGTAAGGAAAGGAGGAAGAGATAAGGAAAGGAGGAAGAGATAAGGAAAGGAGGAAGAGATAAGGAAAGGGGGAAGTGGTAAGGAAGTGAGAAAGAGATAAGGAAAGGAGGAAGACATAAGGAAAGGTTGAAGAGGTAAGGAAAGGAGGAAGAGATAAAGAAAGGGGAAGTGGTAAGGAAAGGAGAAAAGAAGAGATAAGGAAAGGAGGAAGATAAGGAAAGGAGGAAGAGGTAAGGAAAGGAGAAAGAAAGAGATATGAAAAGGAGGAAGAGGTGTAAGAAAAGGAGGGAAGAGATAAGGAAGGAGGAAAGGAATGAGGAAAGGAGGAAGTGGTAAGGAAAGGAGGAAAGGAGGAAGAAGGAAAGGGGAAGAGGCAATGAAAGGAGGAAGACATAAAGAAAGGGGGAAGTGGTAAGGAAAGGAGAAAGAAGAGATAAGGAAAAAGTGATGAGGTAAGGAAAGGAGGAAGAGATAAGGAAAGGGAGGAAGAGAGATAAGGAAAGGGGGGGGAAGTGGTAAGGGAAAGGAGGAAGAGATAAGGAAGGGGGAAGTAGTAAGGAAAGGAGGAAGAGATAAGGGAAGGAGGAAGAGGTAAGGAAAGGAGGAAGAGATAAGGAAAGGAGGAAGAGATAAGGAAAGGAGGAAGAGATAAGGAAAGGGGGAAGTGGTAAGGAAAGGAGGAAGAGATAAGGAAAGGGGGAAGATGTAAGGAAAGGAGGAAGAGATAAGTAAAGGGGGAAGTGGTAAGGAAAGGAGGAAGAGATAAGGAAAGGAGGAAGAGGTAAGGAAAGGAGAAAGAAGAGATAAGGAAAGGAGGAAGAGGTAAGAAAAGAGGAAGAGATAAGTAAAGGAGTAAGAAGAGGTAAGGAAAGGAGGAAGAGGTAAGGAAAGGAGGAAGAGATAAGGAAAGGAGGAAGAGGTAAGGAAAGGAGGAAGAGATATGAGTGAGGGGAAGGGAAGGAAAGGGAGGGAAGAGGTAAGAAAGGAGGAAGAGGAGTGAAAGGGGAAGTGGTAAGGAAAGGAGGAAGAGTTAAGAAAAAGGAGGAAGATGTAAGGAAGGAGAAAGAGAAAAGGAAAGGAGGAAGATGTTAGGAAAGGAGGAAGAGATAAGGAAAGGGGGAAGTGGTAAGGAAAGGAGGAAGAGATAAGGAAAGGAGGAAGAGATAAGGAAAGGGGGAAGTGGTAAGGAAAGCAGGAAGAGGTAAGGAAAGGAGGAAGAGTTAAGGAAGGGAGAAAGAGATAAGGAAAGGAGGAAGAGGTAAGGAAACGTGGAAGATGTTAGGAAAGGAGGAAGAGATAAGGAAAGGGGGAAGTGGTAAGGAAAGGAGGAAGAGGTAAGGAAAGGAGGAAGAGATAAGGAAAGGGGGTAGTGTTAAGGAAAGGAGGAAGACGTAAGGAAAGGAGGAAGATGTAAGGAAGGGAGAAAGACATAAGGAAAGGAGGAAGATGTTAGGAAAGGAGGAAGAGATAAGGAAAGGGGGAAGTGGTAAGGAAATGAGGAAGAGATAAGTAAAGGAGGAAGAGATAAGGAAAGGGGGAAGTGGTAAGGAAAGGAGGAAGAGGTAAGGAAAGGAGGAAGAGGTAAGGAAGGGAGAAAGAGATAAGGAAAGGAGGAAGAGGTAAGGAAAGGTGGAAGATGTTAGGAAAGGAGGAAGAGATAAGGAAAAGGGGAAGTGAAGGAAAGGAGGAAGAGATATGAAAGGAGGAAGAGAGATAAGGAAAGGGGAAGTGGTAAGGAAAGGAGGAAGAGGTAAAGAAAGGAGGAGAGATGTAAGGAAAGGGGGAAGTGAAGGAAAGGAGGAAGAGGTAAGGAAAGGAGGAAGAGGTAAGTAAGGAAGGAGGAAGAGATAAGGAAAGGAGGAAGAGGTAAGGAAAGGAGGAAGGGGCAAGGAAAGGAGGAAGAGGCAATGAAAGGAGGAAGACATAAAGAAAGGGGGAAGTGGTAAGGAAAGGAGAAAGAAGAGATAAGGAAAAGAGGATGAGGTAAGGAAAGGTGGAAGAGATAAGGAAAGGAGGAAGAGATAAGGAAAGGGGGAAGTGGTAAGGAAAGGAGGAAGAGATAAGGAAAGGAGGAAGAGATAAGGAAAGGGGGAAGTGGTAAGGAAAGGAGGAAGAGATAAGGAAAGGGGGAAGTGGTAAGGAAAGGAGGAAGAGATAAGGGAAGGAGGAAGAGGTAAGGAAAGGAGGAAGAGATAAGAAAAGGAGGAAGAGAGATAAGGAAAGGAGGAAGAGATATGGAAAGGGGGAAGTGGTAAGGAAAGGAGGAAGAGATAAGGAAAGGGGGAAGATGTAAGGAAAAGAGGAAGAGATAAATGAGGGAAGTGGTAAGGAAAGGAGGAAGAGATAAGGGAAAGGAGGAAGAGGTAAGGAAAGGAGAAAGAAGAGATAAGGAAAAGAGGAAGAGGTAAAAAAGGGAAGAGATAAGTAAAGGAGTAAGAAGAGGTAAGGAAAGGAGGAAGAGGTAAGGAAAGGAGGAAGAGATATGAAAAGGAGGAAGAGGTAAGGAAAGGAGGAAGAGAATGGTGGGGAAGGTTGGAAAGGAGGAAGAGGTGAGGAAAGGAGGAGGAAAGAGTGGAATGGTGCTGGGAATGGTATGAAAAGGAGGAAGGTTAAGAAAAAGGAGGAAGATGTAAGGAAGGGAGAAAGAAAAGGAAAGAGGAAGATGTTAGGAAAGGGAGGAAGAGATATGAAAGGGGGAAGTGGTAAAGGAAAGGAGGAAAGGAGGTGGAAAGGAGGTAGGGTAAGGAAGGGAGAAAGAGATAAGAAAGGAGGGAAGAGTTAAGGAAAGGATTGGAAGAGGTTAGAAAGGAGGAAGAGATAAGGAAAGGTGGAAGAGATAAGGAAAGTAGATAGAGATAAGGAAAGGAGGAAGAGATAAGGAATGATGGAAGTGGTAAGGAAAGGAGGAAGAGATAAGGAAAGGCGGAAGTGGTAAGGAAAGGAAGAAGAGGTAAGGAAAGGAGGAAGAGGTAAGGAAGGGAGAAAGAGATAAGGAAAGGTGGAGGAGGTAAGGAAAGGAGAAAGAAGAGATAAGGAAAGGAGGAAGTGGTAAGGAAAGGAGGAAGAGTTAAGGAAAGGTGGAAGAGATAAGGAAAGGAGGAAGAGGTAAGGAAAGGTGGAAGAGGTAAGGAAAGGAGATAGAAGAGGTAAGGAAAGGAGGAAGAGGTAAGAAAAGGAGGAAGAGATATGAAAGGGTGAAGAGATAAGGAAAAAGAGGAAGAGGTACGGAAAGGAGGAAGAGATAAGGAAAGGAGGAAGAGGTAAGGAAAGGAGGAAGAAATAAGGAAAGGGGGAAGTGGTAAGGAAAGGAGGAAGAGGTAAGGAAAGGAGAAAGTGGTAAGGAAGGGAGAAAGTGATAAGGAAAGCAGGAAGACATAAGGAAAGGTGGAAGAGGTAAGGAAAGGACGAAGAGATAAAGAAAGGGGGAAGTGGTAAGGAAAGGAGAAAGAAGATATAAGGAAAGGTGGAAGAGATAAGGAAAGGAGGAACAGGTAAGGAAAGGTGGAAGAGGTAAGGAAAGGAGATAGAAGAGGTAAGGAAAGGAGGAAGAGGTAAGAAAAGGAGGAAGAGATAAGGAAAGGTGGAAGAGATAAGGAAAAGAGGAAGAGGTACGGAAAGGAGGACGAGATAAGGAAAGGAGGAAGAGGTAAGGAAAGGAGGAAGAAATAAGGAAAGGGGGAAGTGGTAAGGAAAGGAGGAAGAGGTAAGCAAAGGAGAAAGTGGTAAGGAAGGGAGAAAGTGATAAGGAAAGCAGGAAGACATAAGGAAAGGTGGAAGAGGTAAGGAAAGGACGAAGAGATAAAGAAAGGGGGAAGTGGTAAGGAAAGGAGAAAGAAGATATAAGGAAAGGAGGAAGAGATAAGGAAAGGTGAAGAGGTAAGGAAAGGAGAAAGAAGAGATAAGGAAAGGAGGAAGAGGTAAGAAAACGAGGAAGAGATAAGGAAATGTGGAAGAGATAAGGAAAGGAGGAAGAGGTAAGGAAAGGAGGAAGAGGTAAGGAAGGGAAAAGAGATAAGGAAAGGAGGAAGAGTTAAGGAAAGGTGGAAGAGGTTAGGAAAGGAGGAAGAGATAAGGAAAGGTGGAAGAGATAAGGAAAGTAGGAAGAGATAAGGAAAGGAGGAAGTGATAAGGAAAGACGGAAGTGGTAAGGAAAGGAGGAAGAGATAAGAAAAGGAGGAATAGGTAAGAAAGGAGGAAGAGATAAGAAAAGGGGAAGGGTAAGAAAGGAGGAAGAGGTAAGGAAAGGATAAGAGGTAAGGAAGGAAAGAGAGATACGAAAGGAAAGAGGTAAGGAAAGGAGAAAGAAGAGATAAGGAAAGGAGGAAGGAAGGAAAGGAGGAAGAGATAAGGAAAGGTGGAAGAGGATAAGGAAAGGAGAAGAGGTGGAGAAAGGTGGAAGAAAGAGAGGAGATAGAGGTAAAGAAAAGGAGGAAGAGATAAGGAAAGGAAGAGATAAGAAAGGAGGAAGAGGCACGGAAAGGAGGAAGAGATAAGGAAGGAGGAAGAGGTAAGGAAAGGAGGAAGAAATAAGGAAAGGGGAAGTAAGAAAAGGAGGAAGAGGTAAGGAAAGAAGGAAGAGGTAAGGAAGGGAGAAAGTGATAAGGAAAGGAGGAAGAAAAGGAAAGGTGGGAAGAGGTAAGGAAAGGATGAAGAGATAAAGAAAGGGGGAAGTGGTAAGGAAAGGAGAAAGAAGAGATAAGGAAAGGAGGAAGAGATAAGGAAAGGAGGAAGAGGTAAGGAAAGAGAAAGAAGAGATAAGGAAAGGAGGAAGAGGTAAGAAAACGAGGAAGAGATAAGGAAAGGTGGAAGAGATAAGGAAAGGAGGAAGAGGTAAGGAAAGGAGGAAGAGATAAGGAAAGGAGGAAGATGTAAGGAAAGGAGGAAGAGATAAGGAAAGGGGGAAGTGGTAAGGAAAGGAGGAAGAGGTAAGGAAAGGAGGAAGAGGTAAGGAAGGGAGAAAGAGATAAGGAAAGGAGGAAGAGGTAAGGAAAGGTGGAAGAGGTTAGGAAAGGAGGAAGAGATAAGGAAAGCCGGAAGTGGTAAGGAAAAGAGAAAGAAGAGATAAGGAAATGAGGAAGATGTAAGGAAAGGAGAAAGAAGTCTGTTCTCAAGGACACATGGCACAGTGGATAAAGGCGTTGATTAGATCCAGTACCAAGACCCAAACAGTGTGAGTTCAATACCCGGTTAAAGCAGTGGAGAAATTTCAGAGGGAAAATTAGCAGGAGATAACCGATAACTGAAATCCATCAAACATGGCACGTGGAACTAGAACAGTCTACCCCAGCATCGAAATAAAGTGTCTAGTCTGAAATTCCAACCACCCTGAAAAGGTTGGGCATACAACAGCGAGCGTACAACGGCCGAAACGTTGTGAGAAAATATGGCGACAAGATGAGGACAATGGTCCAAACTAGTAGTAAAAATACAACTTTATTAACTTTCATAGGAGTGTTTTAAACTCTTGGGAAAGCGATGTCAGTGTTTTCTGATTAAATATACGATTTCTATTACGAAAAGGACTCCTCTGAATTCAAACCACTGGAACACACGCCACTATATCCCAAAAAGTGTTATGGCAATTCCTAGACAAAAAACAATCTAAGCCAGCACAAAGCCATCATAGCCTACGCCATTAAAATAGAAGACATTAGAAACAGCTAGAAAAATTATAGTGTATATAACAATCAACATGTCATGTTGGCTGTCAGTTACATTATAAATGATAATCCAGCCATCTTTTCAATATATACATTTGTTCACTTGAGACATGAAATTACCAATCGTCATTTTGTGCTGATTCCTACGTTGGCAGTATATATATTCACAAAAATATCTATATCTCCGTTACTGTGCATAAAACAGCAAATTTTCAACAATACACTTTAAATATTACTATATTGTTTCAAATATTTTTATTATTTGTTTTTTTAACTATTTATTTTCTCATATTACTATTTCTTAGATGGAGTAATAGTAGATAACGATTACAAATTCTAGAAGCATTAACCACAAAAACAACGCAATATCAATAAAATTTTATCAAATTCAGTCCTCACTTTTCAGCTTCGACAGAGTTCAAATGAGCAAGCGAGTCCTTCTGGGTGACGGAGTTTTATGCACTGCGCAATCTTCAGGTGTTGAGTAAGCTTAATTAATCTCCTGATGATTGCTTTGTGCATGAAACACCGAATCGTGCAACAAGTGTGGAATATATATATATAGGCACGGTGGAATAATAGATAGAGGCTCGGATTGAGGAATCGGAGAGCCGAGTTCGAATTCCAGTTGAATCCATTACATTGCTTACGTTAATACCTTTGGGAAATGTGAATCTACTTCTTCCTCCAGCTATGGATAAATAGTAGGACAGACTGGGTTCTATAGCCTTGGATGGCAACTGGACCAGGAGAAGGACAACCTCAATTCAAAACCTGCGGAGGGTCGTTTGAGGACCCTGTGGCACGTAGTGCACCGGATCTCTGTATTCGGCCCTTCAAAAAGTGTGGATGGTCCTGCACGAAACCTTCACCATTATAATCAAATCTCATGTGCTGTTGTCGGGCTGTCGGTTTCCTATGAACTGATCTGCTTGGCCATCATACATCGAACTCGACGGGAGAGTCGAATATATATATATATATATATATATATATATATATATATATATATATATATATATATATATATGAGGGCAGCAGTTTTTCATTTTATTTGTTAAAGACTAACTAAATTTCTTTTTTAAAAATATTTTGCTCGTTTTTTTTCTCTATATTATTTTTTTTAGGTACGATATATGAAAATGATGGTTTTTATATGGCATTGTCAAAGAGTGTTTGTTGATAATGTTGTGACTATATGCATTGTGTTTTTAACCAGACCGTCGCCGCTGCGTGTTGACCTTAAAGACATCGACGCTGCTCCATCTCTGATATTGAGCATATGTTAAAATAATATGCAGTTAATATATAGTAAAATATTATTTTAACATATGCTCAATATCAGAGATAGAGTAGCGTCGATGTCTTTGAGGTCAACACCCAGCGGAGACAAATCTGATGCATGTTTAAACACAGTCTTCAGGCTTGAACGAATGAAGATTGAAGGTATTAGCGAAGGTCATAATTTCTTCGAATATCGTGGACTAGAGCTTTAATATTGCAAAAAGTGAACTGTACCAAATAAAAGAAATCTTATCACTCGAGTAGTTTCAATCGCCCCAACGACTAAATTGAAAATATATCTCGAAGAAAAAATAATGACATAATCAAGATATTGACATCCCGCACTACTTCATACAAAAGTTTAAGAATTAAACCCCAATCATTCGAGGGTAGACGATGACAATTACTGGGCTTGAGAAACGTATTTTTCTGTAAAACTGTTTTACAGATTTCAATCAAGAATAATACTGTTCAGGCAATGAATGACAAATGTTTCATGATAATTGAAATGCTAATATTACCATATGTCTTGTCATGGTAGACCTGGGTATGACGATAAACTACATCTGGCAGCAAGGCCTCTGATCGGGTGATTTTGAGGAGCACGGAACGACCTCTGTATTGCTCTTGTTGTTCGGTCTACTCTGAACCGGGGTGGTAGCCCCTGTTAGGGTTCCGGCTATGGGTAAATAGTGAAACCCAACAAAAACACAATGAAAGTATTAAAATAAATTTTTATATACCGGGTGTAACAGCAAAATTTTCCAAATCTTGTAACAGCATAATTGTCCACTCCACAAAATGTTTACACTAAACTAATTGTTTCTTTTTCTCAGGTTTACAGATAAGACGTTTATCCATCTTGACACCATTTGTAAGAATCACTGAAAAATGCTTTGAGTTTTTCAGCTAGAAATAGAACAGGTTAAAATCGTTTTGTGTCAGCCCCACTATGTCTTGCCAACTGAGCAATGATGAGAGTAAAAAGATCATTTACGCCTACAGTAATGGTATCAACATTCATACTCTGGCTTCCATCTTCAAAGTCCATTCAAGTATCATCAAAAGAACGGTGAATAAGTTTAAAAAGTAGAGAGGAAAACCAGGTCTAATATTCAGAATATGAACAGGGACCATCATTTCAACATAGAGCTAAAGAGATCTATTAGAAAAGATCCAACGCAGTCCATAAGACGCTGGACACAGTTGGGAAGAGTTGCAGCAATGACAGTCCAAACAGCAGTGAAAAAATGACTTAGAAATAAAATCGTACGTGAAACTAGTGACGCACCTTCTTACTCCAAAACGGAAAGATGATTACAGAGGTCCTAGATCATTTTGATTAAGTTGAAAATGATCCCGGAATAATATATATATATATATATATATATATATATATATATATATATATATATATATATGAACTTTATTTAAATCCTTCATAAGATTCCGATCCTTAGCTATGTCATTTTTTCGTTATGATAGATTTCATCACGATTCTTCTTTAAAATTGGAAAGACATTTTAGATTGTTATTGTTCAAAGTAGAGCCCAATAGTGTAATAACAATCTCGGGGAATTCCAGTAATATATGTTTAATCCTTTCTAAGATACAACGGTTGAAAGCTTAATCTAACAGACAGACAATTTTGCTTTTACACGATTTAGACAAATTTGCTGTTACACCTGGTATATAAAAATACATCTCGAAAAATGACCAGAAATACATATCTGCGCTGAAGGCAACCATTTCTGTTCAAAATATATTGTTCAAATTATTTGTTTTCGGCATTAAATAACCCATGGAGGTGTTGATATGACGCTAAAGAAAATCAGCCATAATCAACCAAACCTAACTGTTGTCATTTGTTTCTGTCTTATATCTCAGTTATCTCCCTTCTCTTTTCTCTTCCTTTTCTCTTGACACCTTTTAAAACAATTTTTCTTTTATTTTATCGTAACTTTCCTCTATAGTATTTAGTGTGTTTTTCTATCTGCCGTTCCATTTTTTTCCGATCCCTTCATTCAAACTTGATTCCCTCATGACCAGTAAATAAGAACCGTTACTCTCTTCTTTTTAGTCCAAACGTGTTAATGGATTTTCCTCCCTACTTCTTCATTTTACTAACTCCAGCACAGACAACGATCGAGGATGAGTATCTCTAGAAGAGATCGGAGTAGGTTGGTCGGCGCTAGAAAAAAGATCGTCAGTGCTTCCAATCACGAAAGATAAATGCTACCTGCTACTTCTCTAAAGAAAACAGCGTAAAATTCTCATCCCACACCTTTTAGTCGTGTTTTTCAATTACTATCAGACAGCGATATGTCTTGCTTCTGTTAGTCACCTCTATTACTTCCGTCGTAACCTCCATTATTATTGCTATTACTGTCGATATTGATTCTTCACACTCTTATTACGAGCTGTAAAAGAGAAAAATCATTATTATTATTATTATTAGTGAGTGACACTGAGGTCAAAATATACGAAGACATGTTCATCTGAGTCTGATAAGATTACGTCGCGTGACATGGTGACACATTCTGATAAAGAACACCTTGCAGGTAAAACCCGTTTATAAATATTTAGGACGGTTAACCCAATACGCTCAGAGAGTTTCCGATTGAAGGTATTTAGATGTGACGTCAAAGTCGCCTTGGCCTGTCTCACCCTTCATACTAGCATCTCGACACCGAACCCTGATTCCCTCCGTTTAATCCCATCGATGAACAGTGGGGGAACATGCCCTACCGGTTAAGGTCATGTTGATTTATTAAGTCATTTTCTAGGGATTATCAACCCTTTCCTAGTTATTTAAAGCCTGAAAATATTTTAGATGTTTAGAATGTGTTTATTTTAGATAATAATTGTTTAGTAAAACACGTCTTACTAATTAAGCTGGGGGAGAAGAGATGGATCAATACCCTTCCGATAAGTGAATATAATGAACCCAACGAGAAATGGAACATGTCTCTCGTATTAAAAATTCTTTCCATTACGACACACGCACATCCAGGCTTACAGTACAACATTTGAATGTTAAAATGAAAGATTCTGAAGAAACGTTAGATTTTAACGTTGAAACAAAATGTACAATTTTAATTTTGTAGTGGATATTTACATGTTCTAATGTAACAGTGTATAATATATATATATATATATATATATATATATATATATATCATACTTATTATAAGACCCAGGTTGTGTGTGTGTGTGTGTGTGTGTGTGTGTGTGTGTGTGTGTGTTCGTTTATATATGGGATCGGATTTCTACATTTTTCAACCGATTTCAACAAAACTTCACTTTTTTTGGCAGGTAGTGTTTCTTATTGTCTTGCACTTTTTCTTTTATTTTACATTCAGAATGCTTTAAAAATTCCATTTACAAGACAATTGTTTATAATAAAATTCTATTCAATCGGTAACGATTGAAAACAATGTTTTTGTTTGAGTTTGGGTTTGACCAATTCGTAAAAAAAAAAGAAAATAAACCTAATTAAGACATGCGTGTCCATCAACCTTAAACAATAATCTTTGTCAATTTTATTTTTCAGTCTTTATGATGGTCGATACTTGATCTATCTCTTACTGTTACATCGCTGGCAACGCTGGGCTCCTGCTAGTATATATATATATATATATATATATATATATATATATATATATATATATGTATATATATATATATATATATATATATATATATATATATATATATATATATAGTAGTTTGGTAATAGTATTATTATCTTAATTTTCTCAAGCACATGTTATGCAATAATTTATGTATCAAGTGCGGTTCTTAAATAATATGTAACTTAATAATAACAATGGACCTTCTCATTTCTTCATCTCTCAATATCGACAAAATCTTTTGCAAAATATTGACTGTCATAAAAAAAATCTGTTCTCTGAAGAATCTCAGTTCGAATCACAGCCACAGTTTTGCCCAGTTACTCAATCTGAGGGCTCCAACTACAACTGGAATTATTAGTGTCTTCATGGGCCACATTTTTGACATATCAATCTCTATCTATAAAAGACAGGTTGTGTGTGTGTGTGTGTGTGTGCGCGTGTGTGTGTGTGTGTGTGTGTGTGTGTAACGAATGCACGGCCGCGATTTTCGACGGATTTGCACCAAAATTTACATGCACATGTTCCAAGTTAGTGGGAAGGCCAAGACCTACTTTGCATTTCCCAACTCCCATCGATAGTGGAAATAATCGATTTTTTTCATGCTTCTACGGCAATTTTCATGTAGTTTGCGGCCATTTTCTACTGGCCAGAGTGAGAGCCTATAGCTGGCTGCCACGAATAGGCAGGAAGATTCTATTGGCCAGCGTGAGAGCCAACAGCTGACTGACACGAATGTTAACTAGCATCCAAGCATGCAAAAAAAATCGATAGCTGCATTCGTCACAATTGGGAAAAAATTAAATCTGCATGGCACTTTACTCCAATTGGCTCATTCACTTGCTTAAACTCAACGTTGATTCTGATTCCGCAGAACTGGGTTGGGTGTGAAAAAGTATTTGTCGTTAACATTCTTTTTTCATTCGGTTTTTCCAGTTACGAGTCCTTTTTTAAAGCTAATCGTTTTGTGTTCATTTTGTTTAGTTCTTTTTCGTAACAGATTTAATGTTTAGTATAGATCTTCGAAAAAATTCAAGTATGGCCTCTTCCAAGTTACAAATAAAATCACGTACTGCTTTTTGTCAGAAGAGAGTTTTTTTCCCAACATTCAGCTCTGACAGTTCGGTCTTAACATTCTTACACATTTGTATATTATTGTATTACCGATTTTCGTTAATATATTTGCTAACTCAAATCCACTCTTGTGTCATTATTCTGGCCCCAACAAGGCCACAACAGTTACCTTGTATAATGAAAAGAAATGGGACATTGAATATCCCAGCGTTTACAATATGATCGTAAAGCAGTCAACCTCTTACTATAACACTGCCGATCCGACTGGATCCACGCTGGTTAGTACTGCCGCCGGTTAACTATTGGTCATCTTCTGACCACTTCGTTCCTTCATCTACTCTGCTCCACGTGGTGTTCTTTGATCACAGAGCAGTGAAGATCGAATTTTCGTCCGAACTTAAGCGCTGAATCGAGTTGTGGCGGAACTGTGCTCGGAAAAGACAAAGAACGCTTCCGTTGGTGAAAATACAAATAACACAAGAAATAACGAAGATCACTGGTTTAATTTTCAGTTGGCTTATATAGTCGTTGATAAAACAAACTTTCCGTTAAACTTTCACGGTGTCTCCTTCTTCTAAAACATTCACAAAACAAACATTCACAAAAGTTATTCGTTAGGAATTCTCAGCAATAGGTTACGTGGGATTCAGCAGCTCCTTCGTCTTCTACTGATTCGTCTCAGCTGTCACACCAGTTGCTGGCCTCAACTAAGCGCTCTGTTTATATACATTTCGTCCTGAAAACTCATAAATTATTCAACAATTAATTATTTTCTTCGAGATACGACACCGAACCCCACCAAAGCGGTCAGCTATTACAAAACAATAATTTCTTGAGAACAAACATTGTTTAACATTCCTTTCGACAATCGGTCGTTTACCCAAAACAATGATTTATTCGTTAACGAACTTTTGTGTTTTAAAAACTGTCTCTATTTTCTCTGATATAAAAAGAATTTCACTTTGTTGGTGATTTTCAAAATGACCGGTTTAAAAGTTCATTGTTTACATTTTGGTTTTATAATTAATAAGTTAGTTCTCTTCTCAGTCGATGGTCTTCAAACAAGAACCAGTCAGCTATTCAAAACAATATTTTTCCAATAACTTTTCTGTTTAAAAATTATTTTCATTTTTCTAACGTCAGGGAATTCTGCCGACAATTACGTTCTGGTTACTAGAAAGGAAAAAAAAAACATCTCTTTTTTTCCTAACTTCATATTTCAATTCATGTTTTTATCCTTTTCTATCTTAACGTTTTTTTTTTTTTTTTTCACTCTTTCATTTCTCCAATTCCTATTCACATGAACCTTTTAATCTTAATTTTATACTGCTAGTGTCACAGTAGTGTCCCATTACATCTGGCTCATAAAATCTTAAATAACTTATGACTGGAACTCATTGAGTCGGTTATGTGACATGCCTGATACACACTTAGGCGATCTTTCGATGCATGACTGACGAGGCAGATTTTTTCCCGGATGTAGGATGCCATTACTTTCGGCGGTAGATCAGTTGCCATCCTAGGCTATAGAACCCGGTCTGTCTCGCTATTTACCAATAGCTGCTGGGGGAAGAAGAAGAAGATTCATATCATTCCCAAGGGTATTAGCGCGTAAGTAATGGATTTGACCGGAATTCGAACTAGCTCTACTGATTCCTCAATCTGAGCACCCCCCCGTATTAATTATAAGGTACATCCTATAATATGTTCGGTATTAATGGGTTAATCTTAATTAAAACATGTATGACACATACTTCAGTAAAATAGGTTTTCCATCTTTTAGCGTTATATAAACATTAACATAACATTTCAGATAGTAACACTCTTATCTGAAGCAAGAAAAAATTGTTAAAGTTTTAATGAATTTGATATCTGATAAGATTTCCTATTAGACATTTTTTATGTATAATTTTCTTAATATTCATTTTTAATGCACTTTATTCTTTTGAGTGGAAGCTGCATAGGGAGAACCAAGGAAAGAGTTGATGTACGATTTGACGTTTAAATAAAATAACTGAGGAAAAAGCATGAGTAGAAAAAGTTGGGTGTGTCTAGAGTTTTATGTGTGTCACATCCGGTATTTCTTAGGGGTGAGGACCAAACAGCTTTCAAAATCGATATATGAAAATCTGCATTAAAACTATTTAAACACAGATTATACATACGGAAAGAAACTCAATGCTGTTTCTACCAACAAATAAGCTCTAAGATAAATAAACATGTCGGTATATAAATATAAAATTATACATGTCAATAGATAAATATGATTCAGACAGAGCCAGGCAGACAGATACTGACAATCTGCGATGCATAGTTATGAACATACTTAGATACACAGCGATAAGAAGATACATAAATTGACACCATATAGAAGTGAATAGATTGAATGAGAGGGAGGTAGATATGAACAAAACTAGTTAGATCGATATGAATAAAGTGATATATATATATCATAAACAGAGCATTTGCTTAAATACTTGTATCTATAAAATAACAACGTTAAACATAAAAATATGTCTTTAATAAATAAATTGTCGGACCTTGTCCATTTCTTAATATATATATATATGTGTATGTGTGTGTGTGTGTAGATAGGTAGATAGATAGATTGATAGGAATCGGAGGTAGAAAGATTGCTTCATACACTAATAGATAAACAAAGATTTATATGAAAAAAACAGATAGATAGATAGATAGATAGATAGATAGATAGATAGATAGATAGGAATCGGAGGTAGAAAGATTGATTCATACACTAATAGATAAACAAACTAAGATTGATATGAAATGATAGATAGATAGATAGATAGATAGATAGATAGATAGATAGGGAATCAGAGGTAGAAAAATTGATTCATACACTAATAGATAAACAAAGATTTATATGAAAAAAAACAGACAGACAGACAGACAGACAGACAGATAGATAGATAGATAGATAGATAGATAGATAGGAATCAGAGGAAGAAAGATTGATTCATACACTAATAGATAAACAAACTAAGATTGATATGAAATGACAGATAGATAGATAGATAGATAGATAGATAGATAGATAGATAGGAATCAGAGGTAGAAAGATTGATTCATACACTAATAGATAAACAAACTAAGATTGATATGAAATGACAGATAGATAGATAGATAGGAATCAGAGGTAGAAAGATTGATTCATACACTAATAGATAAACAAACTAAGATTGATATGAAATGACATATATATATATATATATATATATATATATATATATATAGATAGATAGATAGATAGATAGATAGATAGATAGATAGATTGATTAAAGAACAAATAGAAACGTTTATCAATTTAAAATGTTTCACTTCTATTAAAGCTTTACCAGAGTATGAGATATGTCAAAAAAGAAGAAAGAAATTCCTGTATTTTTATTTCGGTGTTGTTTGATTTTCGTTGGTTAATCAGGCATCATGAAAATTTGATTTGTTAAACAACGTTAGTATAATTATGGCGTTTCGAATTCGTGGACTGACGGCGTCTTGATCATAAAATCCTTCCTAACAGGTAGGTCTCTGAAGGTAGTTATCCATGGCCAGTTCCCAGGAGCCCTAGAGGTCCACGCAGGCGTCCCCCAGGGTCACTACTCGGACCAATCCTCTTTTGATCTACATAAATGATCTGCCCAAGAATATACTCGGATCATTTTTTAAACATATAAGCCGATGATACAACTATAGACGGTCGCATCTCAAAGTCTCAGTGTTCAGAAATTGGTGACTGATCTCTCTTCCGATCTTGCACAAAATACCTAATGGGGTAAAAACTGGCTGGTTACATTCAATGCCTCGAAGATCAAGCTAGTTACATTCCATCATCAGCGATCTGGTCCTGAACTACCAAAAATCTGGATGAACGGTGGTCCTCTCTGAAAAGCACCGTACCTTGAAAGACTGCTGGGTCTAAAACTCACAAGCAACCTCAAGTGGAACTCGTACATATACCCCATTGCTAAGGATGCAGGTAAAAATGGTCGGCTCACTGTACCATTCCAGTAAGTACTTGACCCTCCTGCTATCCTTTACAAGAGACAGATCAGGCTGAAAATGGAGTACTGCAACAATTGGCTGGTCACTTTTAACGCCTCAAAAACTAAACTACACTCTATTAATCACCATAGAGATCCTTCCCTGCCCCCCCCCACTAGAATGTCTGATAGTCAACTTCTTGAGAGCAACTCCCTGCGTCTGCTCGGTCTTACGTTGACTGCTGACCTGAGATGGGACAAATACATTGAGTCAATTGCTTCTTCCACCCCGAGGAAAGTTGGCTCTCTGTGCCGCCAGGAAATTTTTTTCTCCCCGAATCGATATTCAAATATACAAATCAGCCATTCGCCCTTGCATGGAGTATTGCTGCCATATATGGCTGGAGCACCTTCTGTTTACCTCGAGTTCTTGACAAGATCCAGAGACGATATGTAATATAATTGGTCCTGATCTGGCATCTCGTCTACAGTCATGCTCTCACAGACGCGCCATCGCGTCTCTCTGTCTTTTCTACAAATACTTTCATGGTAATTGCTCCGATGAGCTGCTTTTCACGGTTCCCAGACTCCATGAATTCAAGCGCCCTACGAGGCTGGCATCCTGCTCTCACCCTTTTTCTGGAGAAACTTTTTAAATGTAGCCGTCCCTACTCCAATAGCTTCATACCGCACCTCTCGCCTGTAGAACACCCCTTCCCTATTACTGTTTCCCTGGGGCTATAATTCCAACTATTCAAATGTAATGTCAATCGACATCTCCAGTTACCTTGATCTATCTACTATCCCTCTCCTCATCGTTTCTTCTATCACTCCTATCTGCTCTCGCTCCAAATCTTCTGTAACCCCTTGCATCCTAGTGGCTTCACGCCTTGCTCGGGGCGTAATGCATAAAAAAAAAACTGTTGTCATATTTTGGCGGGAAATGTCCAGATCTCATTCTCCAGATTTGATAGAGTTCAAAAGCGTCTCCAAGATCTTGTGGGCAACGAACTATTCTCCACCCTTCAACCTCTCCCTCAGGCGTGATTAGGCATGCCCATCACTGCTCTACCGCTACTTCCACGAAAAGTGCTCGAACGAACTACATTCCTTGGTCCGGCCCAAGTAAACCTTCACAGCAAGAACAGGACATGACACTTACATTGTAGCAAACCAACCACATACGCACCGTCTACCATCGGTGAGAAGTAAGTTCCACTCAAACAAATTCTTCCCGCGAACCACTTCTCTGTGAAACCGACTCCCAACAGAATGTTTAACCGATTCCCACAATCTAAACCTGTTCCAAGCTGGGGTTAACCGTTATCTTTGACTTCTATATACACAAATGGCCTCCAAATATAACCCTCTACCTCGAGTGGCCCCAGGGCCTTGTAAAGGGTGAACATCTGTGTAACATAAAAAAGGGAATTATTGTGAACAGCCACTCGTCTAGATTTTTTTCGCACTAACTCAGAACTCCCAACGGCTCCATCCTTGGTATTTCTCTATTTTAATTTTCATTAATGACCTCTCCAATGATATCAGCTTTCAACTTGGTATCTACGCTGACGACGCAACAATTTACTCCTGCGTTCATAGTAAGTCTTATCAGTTTGTCTAGGTCAAAATGGTGGCCAATGTCTAAAACGACCCCAAGCCCGTATTTAACTGTGGCAAAAGATGGCTTGTTAATTTTAACGTCTCTAAAACTAAACTCCATTAATCATCTGAGAGACCTTTTACTGCCTTCCATCAGCATGGCTGATGCTATCTTCCAGGTAAGTGGCTCGTTGAGCTTTTTCGGGCTAAGGTTTTCTGTTGATATGAACGGAAAATCGAGTCCATTGCTAGGGAAGAGGCTAAAAATGTCGTTTCACTCTGTCAGGGATATTACTTATCTATAAGACTATCGTTCGTCCATGCTTAGAATATTTATGCCACATATGGCCTGGTGCCCCTGCTATTTATCTTGAGCTCTTTGATAAGATCCAAAGAGAGAGTCTTTAATATTATTGGTCCTGATCGGGCGGCTCAGCTCCAATGAGTGTTACACCACCGTAAGGTTACCTCTCTATGTCGTTTCTATAAATACTTTCATGGTAATTGTCCCCTTTCTACGCATCATTAATGTTTCTGTTCCTACTTTGTCCATACACTGTATCCCTTTATGTTATGTGGCATTATTGCCTTGCTTGGTTGATTCTGATTAAAGATAGATAGATAGATAGATAGATAGATAGATAGATAGATAGATAGATAGATAACAGTCAGAGGTAGAAAGATTAATTTATAAAATACTGTAAAGATGAACAGACTAAAATTGATATGAAATGATAGATAGATAGATAGATAGATAGATAGATAGATAGATAAGAATCAGAGGGAGAAAGATTGATTCATACAATAATATATAGATGAACAGACTAAGATTAATATGAAATGACTGATAGATAGATAGATAGATAGATAGATAGATATAGATAGATAGATAGGGACAGAATGAGATAGATAAATAGTTAGATATGAAAAACTGAGATAGATAGATAGATAGATAGATAGATAGATAGATAGATATGAAAAACTGAGATAGATAGATAGATAAATAGATAGATAGATAGATAGATAGATAGATAGATAGATAGATAGATAAACTTGTAGTATAGGGCCACAGTATCAACAGCTGGTTGTTACTGCTCTTTCTTTAGCAAGTACGTCATTATGGGATGGCATTTTCTAGATCCATATCGAATCCAACCGGTTACCAACCAAGGCTTGAGAACCAAATTTGCCCTGACATTAACCACTCAGCAGTTAGGAGGAAAAGAGATGTGTTCATGCCTTTCCCAATGGGCTTTTTGCGAAATCGAACGCAACTGCATCGACTGATATTTGCCCTGACACGCCAATATCCGCTAATCTGCCGGCACCGATAAACAAATCGATCGAGCTAGGTAAAACAAAGTTAGCAACCCGTGCTGTAATATATATATATATATATATATATATATATATATATATATATATATATATATATATATATATGTATTTCGGCAGGAATATGTCTTTTATGTAAATTTCATCGGAAACGATTGACAAGGTGTGGTGTTTGAATATTTTATATAATTTCTCATGCGTTCGCTGAAGCGCTTTCGGCTATACTTTGGGCCGTTATCATGGATGGATTTTATTTTACTTTTAAACGAAGATATGCATTATTTTATGCATAGATCTAGAATTATAGGAATGTTTTATTTTTATATAATTTATGTCCTGAAAAGAAAAAATGATACGATCTCATGAGAAAATATATTAGAACAATCAACCATCACACCTTTTAAGTCGTTTTCAACGAAACTTGCACACACACACACACACGTATATATATATATATATATATATATATATATATATATATACAGAAATATACTTTTAAGGTGTGCTATATTTGTAGGATAAAGTGCTCAATGTCAGAGATAAATGTAAATATAAATATAAAAGTGAACATTGAAGTCAACACTCAGAGGCGACAGGCTGTTTCATGCGAGGTGCAATCGTCAGGTCATATATATATATATATATATATATATATATATATATATATTACTTTTAAAGGTTATCTTTAGTGGATACCTGTATTTCTATTTTAAAAAATATATTTACCCATTTGCGTCTACCTATCTCAATATTCGAAAAATTAAATTAATGAAAAATATGTGCCCTCCTATCTCGGGAAGCATTCAAGCCTGTGTCCCCTTTGCTGGTCCCCCTTTGATCGGCGACGTCCTTCGTGGCCGAGTCGGGTAAAAATCACAGCGGATTTAACGACGGTCGTCGTTAAATCCGCTGTTATTCGGCCACGAAGGACGTCGCCGATCAAGCAATCTGCTAAAAATAACGTTTAAAATTGTTTAAAAATCTCTCGGATTAATAAATGAAAAAAATCCATTAGAAATTGCTTAGTTTGCATTTGGCTACGAAACTGAGTAGATATGAATTTTCGAGAATTTTGGACGACGAGGATTTGTGCTTAAAAACAGTGTTCAGCTTTACTTGATAGACGATGAAAATAAATATACTGTTTAAAATAAACGGAGCGTCTATTCAAATATGGATATCCACGAAAAATAATATTTAAAGTGATAAGTGTTTTCGAATTAATAAATAATAAATCCATTACTTCTTTATTGAAACATAGTCTACCGGCCTGAATTGTTGAGAAATTTTATCAAAAAAAAAAAAAATGCACTTTTTCTTTCATTCGAACCTGCGCCTCTGTTTAGGAGAAAACCATCTTACGTGCTGACGCGATCGAAGCGACTGAGTTACGAAGAACTTTTGTCAATCAGCTGAATTATTCTTCTTGTCATAGACTCTTGAAATTTCCAAATCTGCTCAGTTTCATTTCCAAGAGTAATGAAATAAATATTCTAATGAAATATTGGATTTTTTTTATTTATTAATCCGACATATTTTATCACGTTAAACATTATTTTAATGGATACTTATATTTGAGTAGTAAACCAGATTATTTATTAAAATCTATATTTAGTTTCGTCTACAGGCCTGAATATTAGAGTAATCTTATTAAATAACTAGTAGCATGGATCGACATGATTCAAAAATCGTACGACTCATACAGCAATTGCTATCACTTGACTTAAAATGTTTTTGCCCTTACTTGCCTTTAAAGGAGTGCCCTTTGCCGTGCTGATGTTGCTACATGCCTTACTTATTGCCTCTTCTCACACTGCGAATTTTTTCTAAGCTCTATACTAAACATTAAATCTGTTACGAAAAAAGAACTAAACAAAATGAACACAAAACCATCAGCTTTAAAAAAGGACCTGTAACTGAAAAAACCGAATGAAAAAAGAATGTTAACAACAAATACTTTTTCACACCCAACCCAGTTCTGCGGAATCAGAATCAACGTTGAGTTTAAACAAGCGAATGTGCCAAATTGGAGTAAAAGTGCCATGCAGATTTAAATTTTTCCACTTGTGACGAATGCAGCTATCGATTTTTTTTTTGCATGCTAGCATGCTAGTTAACATACGTGTCAGTCAGCTGTTGGCTCTCACGCTGGCCAATAGAATCTTCCTGCCTATTCGTGGCAGCCACCTATTGGTTTCTCACTCTGGCCAGTACAAAATGGCCGCAAATTACATGAAAACTGCCGTGAAGCATGGAAAATCGATTATTTCACTATCGATGGAGTTGGGAAATGCAAAGTCGGTCTTGGTCTTCCTCCCTAACTTGGAGCATGTGCATATAAATTTTGGTGCAAATCCGTCGAAAATTGCAGCCGTGCATTCGTTACACACACACACACACGCACACACACACACACATACATCCTGCCTTTTATAGACAGGGATATATCTCGAACATTCAGGATGGTATGATGGTATGAATAAATATACTGTTTAATATATAAACAGAAATATAGATGGAATATTGTCCTGCTAACTATGTTAAATATTTTAACATCTGATGAGCTAATATACTACAGTTTGGGAAGACAACATTATTCTACAAGCAAATATACTATAAAAATATTCTTTTTTTTATTTTTCATGTAATTTATCCTGGAGTGAGAGTAATAATTTACCTGGAGTTCAAAGTGCTACAAGAGAGTATTCCTCTCTCATCCTAAGAACATCACTGTCTGGTGACCACAGAGAAATAACAAATCTCTGTAATCAAGGGGGTCTGGTTTCAGTATAATTCAAGACCGCTATCTGTTATTTATTGACAGCACCAAATGTCAAACGGGCCTGCATCTATCCAGTATTAGCAGATATGAGTCTATAAAATAAATACTTTGTCAAGCAAATAACTGCATTAAGTTAGGGGATGAATAATGTGTCTTTTGATTTCAGGCAAAAAAAGTCTTCAAAACTTTTGTGCAAAAAAATGTTTACTATTTACATTATTCGGACTATTGCCCTCATCTTTGTCGCCATATTTATTACAACGTTTCAGCCGTTGTATGCTTTGGCCTTCTTCAGGTGGTTGGAATGTCGAAGTGAACCCTTTATTTTACTCACTGGGGTAGACTGTTCTAGTTCCACGTGCCATGTTTAATGGATGTCAGTTATCGGTTATCTCCTGTTAATTCCCCTCTCCAAGTGCTCCACTGCCTTAACCGGGTTTTGATATACACACTATTTAGGTCCTGTCACTAGATCTAACCAACGCCTTTTATCCACTGTATCATGTGTACTCGAGGACAGGATCCAAATACTCCTTTCTCTTTCCGCTCATTATTAAGGTATCTCTTTCTAATGCTTCCACACCCTGTAACCCCTTGTGTTTTGGTGTCTTTACTGCTTTGCTTGGGGTGAAACCGATTTAAAAAAGAAAAGGGTTTTAATTTGGTACTTAGACTTTTATAATGTAAGTGCAGTACTAGACTGGCATCGAGATCTCATCAATTGACAGTTGGGCTGGCGAGATGTAGTCGTAAACTCTTTGCAAACAGTTTCTTTTCTCGCACGTCTCGCTTGTGGAACCCCCTTCCGGTTCCATCCAACTTAAATCTGCAAAAATTTAAATGCAATGTCAATCGCTATTTACTGTCCTCCTGATTACTCTTTTCCCATCCCGCTCATTATTAATGTTTCGGTTCTTATTTCTTCCATTTCCAGTAACCCTTTGTGCCATTAGGTCTTTATTACTTTGGAGTGAAATCGATTAAAATGATTCCATTTCACTGAAGAAAACGCTACGATTCTGATAGCGTTATTGCTTTCTCTATCATGCATTTCTTTCTTTCTTTTTTCTTTCTTTTTTTCTGTTCTGTTCAAAGACGACTGACCTTCTCCATACTAATTATTGAACATGGATTCGTCCATCCGCTATGAGTAGAACGTATGCCTATATGAAACGTTTTCGTAAAGTAGGTCGCAAGGCGTAGCGTTTGAGTCGTAACCATTGCCGCACTTAACTGTTCTATATTAGGGTGTTATTAATCCATGTCTCTTATGTGATTAAATCTGTTATTCACTCACCCTTTTTCTTCTTGCGTTTCCTTACAGTATTATTAATCAGCACTACGAGTGTTATACGAACTTTATAACAATAGATATGAAAAGAATATGATAGATGTGAGCAGAAGGATATTATATATATATATATATATATATATATATATATATATATATATATAGAGAGAGAGAGAGAGAGAGAGAGAGACGAACAGAAGGACATTATATATATATATATATATATATATATATATATATATAGAGAGAGAGAGAGAGAGAGATAGATAGATAGATAGATAGATAGATAGTATCGCAAGGCATAGCGTTTGTGTTTTACTTCATCTTACATAGTATCGTACTGAAATACATTATCCACTGTTACTGTATAGTTAATCCAAGTGTTTCATGTGATTAGACGTTCTTCACTCAACCTATGAGCGTTATATGAATTTTATATTTGTAATCTATTGATAGATAGATAGATAGATAGATAGATAGATAGATAGCTATGAGCAGAAAGAGATAGATAGATAGGTAGATAGATAGATAGATAGATAGATAGATAGATAGATAGATATGAACAGAAAGAGATAGATAGATAGATAGATAGATAGATAGATAGATAGATAGATATGAGCAGAGATAGATAGATAGATAGATAGATAGATAGATAGATATTTATTGTGTAAAAAGACGACTGATCTTCTCTAAAGTAATTGCTGAACATTGACTCGTGCATCCGTTATGAGTAGAACGTCTGCGCAGATGAACGGTTTTCGTTAAGTGAGTCGCAAGGCATAGCGTTTGTATTTTACATCGTCTTACATTATATAAAATACAGTATCCTCTGTTCCTGTATAATTAATCCATGTGTTTCATGTGATTAGACCTATTCTTCATTCACCCTTTTTGTTTCAGTGTTTTCTTACAGTATTATTAACAAGAACTAAGCGCGTTATACGAACTTCATAACACTTTTTTTTATTTCTCTCTTTCTTTCTTTCTTTCTTTCTTTCTTTCTTTCTTTCTTTCTTTTCTCACTAAATCCTAACGGCGTTTCTTATATATCTTTCCTTTACTCAAAAGTAAAATGTAATAGTTCAGTGTTTATCCGATGATCTGAACAAAGAATCTTGGAATTTTATTTTGGATTTAACCAAACATTTGTTTACTGGATAATTCTCTATAAATGAGTCGAAATCCACCGAAAGCCTTAACAACCGAATATAGTAGATTGTATTCTGGATACGTCCGAATATGTAAGGTGCGTGATTTCTTAACTTTTCAAATCACCTATTTAAAATGTTTGTTCTAGATGTATTCGCCCTCCCTGTTTGATTTTTTTTTTAAATTTTATTTTTATTATCATTTGTATCTTATGTTTTCTGCGTTGTATCCTGTAGAGCTGGGCCCAAAAAATGGTGTTTTTTCCTATAGGAAAATTGTCAATTAATTGATAGCTCTTTTCTTAGTATATAGGATATTCCTAGTAGCACGATCTTCTGGGCAACTTGTATGTTTATGTTACCTGGCATATTGTTAGTTAAATTGTCCATTCTTTTTCTCATGGGGCCCAGAGCTTCGATTAATATTGGTACAGTCAGTTTTCATACTCTACAACCTGTTAATCTCGATCTCCAGGTCCTTGTATTTGGACAATTTCTCGATAATTTTCATGGAGGGGTTTCTTGCAGATGATACTGCTATGTCAATAAGCATACACTTCCTGAATTTCTTATATTTTATGATAATATCGGATCTGTTGGCTTTTATTTCCCTGTTAGTTTGAATTGGCATGTCCCAGATGATAGTTACATCGATATTTTGGATAACTCTCTAGGTATTATTATTATTTTTTTTATTTTCTTTGATTTCTGGCGTTTACACATTTCTTTCCGGGTTCCGCCCAGGGACCTAAGGTTAGAAATGGCGTCATGACACTTTCCACTGACAAAATTTTTTTTTTTTAATTACATAGATAAAGCCCTTCGTAAAGTGTGGGCTGTACTTGTCAGAACAATTTTTTTGTATCTCCTTGAGGCATGGACTTTGGAATCCTTCAATTAGTCTACTGCAATCTTTTTCCAACCAGTCCTAGGGCTCCAACTACAACAGGGATTGTTGATGTTCCCCATATGACACATTTCGAGATTTCTATTTCAAGGTCCTTGTATTTTGACAACTTTTGAATATCTTCAAAGATACATTGCAGTCAGCAGGGACTGCCATATCAATAAAGAGGCACCGTTTTTGTTTGTGGTCTTTAATAACAATATCTGGGCGGTTGGCCTTGATTGTTCTGTCAGTGTATATTGTGTAGTCTCATAGAATTGTAGCCGGGTCTGAGTGGTGTTCATACTAGTTTCTTTCAGTTTCCTTCCCGTAGAAGTTGCAGATTTTCCAGTGCAGATATTGGCCCGCTCTGTCATGTCGGGTTTTATATTCAGTGGGTGCCAAACTCGTGAAACCTGATACAAGATGATCAATCGTTTCTGGGTATTTATCACTTATTATTATTATTATTATTATTATTATTATTATTATTAAACAAATTGATTGACGTAACTCTTCCAATAATTTTTACAACTTAGGAGAAAAGCGCGAAATGAGAAAGAAAAGGAAAAAACTCTTTGACAATGTTAAACAATATTTCGACAGTATGTCTGTCAAATTTTTTTTTTTTTTCATTTTCAAGTATTCATTTTCATATATTAAATCTACAAAAAATTATAAGACTTTATACAAACGTGGCTTGTCTTCAAATAAAAAAAACGGCTGTCCCTGTAATGAAGGCGTCAAAACGAATGAAACGCTGCCTGCGTGAATGGTATGCAACTGAAATGTGCTTAATATGATGACGATCTCACTCATCTTGGAATTTTCCGTTAGCTGATTAGTTTACTAAGAGGAATTAATCAAACAGCTTCCAATCATTTCCCCGAGACGAGAAGTAAGTAGACTTTTATCCTTTGTTTCTGGTTTAGGATTGGGTTTCCGATTCTTTCTAAAGTCTTTTTTCATTCTATTTCACTCTCAGTAGCAATTTGCTTTTGTATGTTAGTGGCATTATCGCCTTCCTTGGAGTGAATTGATTAAAAAAAAAAACTCGTGAAATTCCGAAATCTTATGACCCCTACCTTTTGATATGATGCTACTCGATTATTTATTTATTTTTTTTTTTTGTGGGGATAACTGAAGGCGAGTCTATTCATCAATACATCGCAGACAATTCAGCGACTGTCAAGAACAAAAAGATAGAAATTCGAGGGTTGGGTTATTAAACGCTGTTATGGTGACAATTATATAAAAAAAACTTGTCTCTGTGTCGTGGAAAATGGTAGATATTGAGATCGTATCATTTTTCATGATTAAATAGGATGCATTTTTTTTTCTGTATAAAATTATTTTTGAATAATAAAAAGATTGTTGAAATTATGATAGTTTTAAATCCCGAGGTGACTTCAGGAAGACCCTGCAGAAGAGACTAAAAATAACATATAT